ATTTGTTGCTTCTCATACACGGTCTGACTGGGGATCAAACCTGCAACCTAGCTATGTGCCTTGACTGCCCAGAACAGAACCTGCAAACTTTTGGTGTACTGGATGACCCTCCGACCACTACCAGCTGAGCCGCCGGGCCTGGGCATCAAAGCTGTCTGAATGGGAAGAAAGTGTATTTCCATCTTAGTGTTACAATGTTTTAAACAATAATCACTACCATTTATTGAGCTCCTACTGTGTGTCAATTGTATTATATATACTGTTGCTGATCCTTACATGAACCTTAAAGATTAGTAATCTATTATCCCATTTTATTGAGGAAACAAGGCTCAGAGAGGCTAAAACATTTGCTCAAAGCCACACAGCTGAACTAAGGTTCAAATTGAAGTCTGTGTGACTCCAAAGCTACTTCACTGAGTTAGTTTTCAGTTTAAAGTCTCAGCACTGGCAAGTTATTTACTTGTAAAGGTAGATATTTTTACTAGTCAAAAAATCATCATAGTCAGCCCTGGCTGGTATGGCCCAGGGGATTGAGCACCAGCCTGGGAACCAAAGGGTCGCAGGTTCAGTTCCCAGTCTAGGGCACATGTCTGGGTTGTGGGCCAGGTCCCCAGTAGTGAGTGCACAAGAGGCAACCACACATTGATGTTTCTCTCCCTCTCTTTCTCCTTCCCTTCCCCTCTCTAAAAAAAAAAGTAAATAAATAAGTCTTTTAAAAAATAATCATAGTCAACCTGATGATTAAGGGTCCAAAGCAAACTATAAGATGAGAATATTCCCTTATGTGGCCTGCAAAGTGGTTTCTCAGTGAAATTTGAACTTGTTCTGAGAAATGACAGTATCTAAGAACAAAATGATGGCTTCACAAGATATCTCAGCATTACGGAGCAACAGTCCTTGGTGTAGGTTTATTAGAAAAGAAAATGTCTCAAAGATTTACTTATATGGACTTCAAAATACTATTGGGTTGGCCAAAAAGTACATTTAGTTTTTTTCTGTAAAATAAAAGACAATTTTTAATTTTCACCAATAACTTTATTGATTTGGATAGTTAGAATATGCCGGCTGTCTCCCACTGTTGGCTTCTAGTGGGCAGAGGCCAGGAGCACTGCTAAACATCTTCTAATGTGTAAGACAGCCTCACAGCAAAGAATTATTTGGCCAAAATGTCAAACGCACAAGAAAGTTCACCACTTTTGAAACATTTGATCAGTTACAGTACCTTCTCCACACACTGCACGAATCTTTGTTTTTCAGTTGCGTTTTTACCTTCCTTGAAATAATAAAGCATCATATGCCCAAAATGCTGCAGATCTTCTTTCATCTTCAATATTAAAATGGCTGCACCCTGGCTGGTGTAGCTCAGCAGACTGAGCACGGGCCTGTGAATCAGGGGTCGCCAGTCCGATTCCCAGTCAGGGCACATGCCTGGGTTGCAGGCCAGGTCCCCAGTAGGGGGCGTGTAAGAGGCAACCACACATTGATGTTTCTCTCCCACTCTTTCTCCTTCCCTTCCCCTCTCTCTAAAAATAAATAAATAAAATATTTTAAAAAATAAAATAAAATGGCTGGACAAAAATTCAACCAATTTTGATACTTTTTTTATTTTTTATTTTTTCGACAAGTATTTTTTAAATGCACACCGAGATGAGAGCTGTCACAGTACAATTTAACAAAATTGTTTTGAATGAAGTTAAAGACAACTAAGCGCTACTAGAGCCATCGTATGGGAAAAACAAATGACCTTTGTGGCCAACCCAAAACTTAATTAACACTTGTTAAGGACTTACCATGTTATCTTATTTAATGCTCACAATAATATATGAGGCACAGCACCAAAAGGTAACATTTTCCTCTTGCAAATGAAGAAACTAAGCCCCAAGTCAGACTCAAGCTTTGGTATAATTCCAAATCCCAATCTCTTTATCTTTATGCTGCACAGCCAGAAGAGAAGAGTCAAAACCAATAACATTAGACATTCCTCTTCTAAGCCGTCATATTTGCAAAACTGATATTGGTACTCTCTTTTGAAATTCTTTTTGCCCTTTTTTTTTTCCCATGAGTTCTCTGTTCTCCTTGAGTTCTGTGAAGGGAATATGGGGAAAGTAAAAAAAAGAGATAGCAAAGTGAGCTCTCCTTTTCCGATTTTCCAAGCCCCCAATCAAAATCAAGAAAGCAAGAATCAACTTTCAAGTCCAACTAGGATTGTTAAATTCAATTTAAGAAAGATGAATTCTTGGTCCAGTGGAAGAATTGAACATAACATTTCTTCCTTGGCAACAGTGGGGCTTGGTGACTCACCAGTAGGACCTTGGCATGCCTACCCACAGACACTGAATTCTGCAGCCTTATTTATTTATTTATCTACCATTTACGTTCTATTTATTTTTTAAAAGATTTTATTTATTTATCTTTAGAGGGAAGAGAAGGAGAGAAGGGGAGAAACATCAATGTATGGTTGCCTCTTGTGAGTCCCCTGTTGGGAACTGGCCTGCAACCCAGAATGTGCCCGGACTGGGAATCAAATCAGAGACCCTTTGGTTCGCCGGCCCGCGCTCAATCCACTGAGCTACACCAGCCAGGGCTCTATCATTTATGTTTTAGAGAGAGGGTAAGAGAGGGAGAGACAGTGGGAGAGAAATACTGATCAGTGACCTTTTGCACACCTCCAACTGGGGACCTGGCCTGCAACCCAGGCTTGTGCCCTAGACAGGGAATCAAACCTGTGACCTTTTGGTTCGCAGGTCGGCACTCAAGCCACACCAGCCAGGGCTGAACCCTGCAGCCATTTAAAGAGATGGGCATAGGCAGTAGCAGCTGTGGCCTGAATTCCAGAAATCAAATTCTGGGAGACTGTTGAATATAGCATCTGGTCCATTGAGTGCTGATTATTTTAAGGCTTGCTTCTAGGCAGGAAGAAGAGCTACATGCTGAAAATCATTTATGGAAGTGTTACTGTAAACTTTTAACCAAAACCAAGTGGGATTCTAGAGTAAGTATTATTACCCACATTCAAATATACAAGTTAAATACACTGTTATACAAATAAGATTTAATAGGGGTTGTGAGCTCTGCTCCCTCAGTCATAACTTATGTTTTGTTTTTTAAATGCAATAAAACAGCCCTGACCAGTGTGGCTCAGTTGGTTGGGTGTCATTCTGCAAAGCGAAAGGCCGTGGGTTTGATTCCTGGCCAGCGCCCATGCCTGGGTTGCAGGTTCGATCTCCAGTTGGGACGTGTATGAAAAGCAACCAATTGATGTTTCTCTCCCTCCGTTTCTCCTTTCCTTCCCTTCTCTCCAAAAATAAATAAATAAAATATTTTTAAATGCTATAAAACAGTAAGAATTGATTATAAACAGACTATGTGTATATAACTAAATTCTCATTACCCTTATGTTAAAATTTCCATTACAAGGAGGGGAGGTGCTCTAATTAATAACAATAATACCATATACTTACATGGTTTTTCCATTTATAAAGAGTTTCAAATACAACATCTCACATCTTGGCTACATTTGGGCATCTTGAAGCGTGCCCTGCCCTTGGCCCTGTGACTCCCCTCTCCTGATTCTTTCCTCGGTTCTGTAATACATCCTCCTAGGTCCTCTCCTCTTCCCAGTGTTATCTGCTGTGTTCCCAGGATGCCGTCCTTGACATTGCTCTCATGCTCTATCGGCGCCACCCATTCACCTGCGTGGTTTTCCCTATTACCATCTTCGGCTATTCCCATTTCTTTACCTGCAGCCCCATCCTGGGTCCTGAGCTCTGGACTCATATTTCCAACGGCCTGCTTGGTATATGAATATATGTTTGGACATAGTGGATTCTTCAGACTCAACAACAAGTCTCTAAAGATGCTTTTTATCTCCCATCATTTGCCCCGTTCCTCAGTGAGCTCCACCCACACCGACCAACTGATGGTTTCCCCTCCAGGATGCCAGCCACTGCCTCGCCACTCTTACATTTGCTCCTCAGTAAATTAGCCACTTAGAACACTTTCCCCCCAATATCCTGATGACTTTCAGAATCAGGTCACTGATTCTGCTCTCAGGTCACTTCTTTGGAGAGGCTTTTCTTGACCCTTCTAAGTAACAGCTCCCTTCCCTTACTTACTTCTCTTGTACATGTTATTATCTGACATTATACTCTGTCTTTGTCTATGGCCCGTCTCCCCCACCAGAATGTTAGTTCAACAAGGATAGAGCCTTCATCTCATTCAGTTTTATACTTACATTGAGCACATTAACTGGTGCCCAATGAATTTTTGTTACATGATTGAATCAGCTTGTAATCTTTATACACATCCTACACTCCTCCTTTTTGTGAGTTCTGGTTCCATTCATGGCATACTTGGCCATCCAATAAATCACTCACCTCAGAAATCTGCATTTCACAGGTTCTGACTCATCCTAAATCATTCATGGAAATGTTTGATAGTTATACCTGGAGCCAGGACTGGAGCAAGAACACAAATGAGGCTCGCCCCTTCTTTTCCTATTCTGGCTGTCCCATCACTGGAGGGCTCTCATGTCCACAGGGGGCTACTCAACCAGCAAGCCCAAGCTCTGTCCATTCTCCCAGACTAGGCCCAGGTGTATGCACAGACAGCTTGGTCTACCCGCAAGAGAACAAAGCTGGGGAAGAGGTTCGTTTATGGGATGTTTAAGCAAAGAACTCCAAGGCCCTGGACACTTGAGTATGTGAGCTAGAAGGGGACCAGGCGGTGTGAGCTCTGATCCCCTTGGCCCCGTGGGGAAAAGTGCAACAGAAGGAGGGTCAGGTCCAAGGCTTTTAAAGAGCAGGGCTCAGGGTGGAGGCCTCATTACTGCTGCCTAATGGCCATACTATCTGGGCTAAGACCCAAACTCCAAAAATGTAGGTGTAACTACACAAGCATGAAGTTCAGAGAGCATCTTCTTCCCTGCCTTTTCTAAAAACCAAAGATGTAAGTTCTTTAAGAGCTATCAGTGTAGAGATTTAGAAAAGGAAAAATTGGGTAAAAATCCCATCAGAAAACTGGGCTTAATCAAAATTTAAAACTTTGGTCCTTTCAAAGACACTACTAAGAGAATGAAAAGACAAGCCCTGATGGTTGTGGCTCAGTGGGTTGAGCACTGTCCCACGAATTGAAGGGTCACTGGTTTAATTCCCAGTCTGGGGACGTGCCTGGGTGGTGGGCCAGGTCCTGGGTTGGGGACGTGTGAGAGACAACTGATCAATGTTTCTCTTCTTCTCTTTCTCTTTCCCTTCCACACTCTCTAAAAATAAATAAACAAAACCTTTAAAAAAGAGAGAGAGAGAGAGAGAGAGAATGAAAAGACAAGCCAAAGACTGGGGAAAATATTTGCAAATAATATATGTAATAAAGGAATTATGTCCAAAATATATAAAGGACTCTCAAAAATAAACCCTGGCTGGTGTGGCTCAGTGGATTGATCACCAGCCTGTGACCCAAAAGGTTATGGGTTCAATTCCTGGTCAGGACACATGCCTGGGTTTCGCACCAGGTCCCCAGTTCAGGGCATGCAAGAGGCAACTAGTCAATGCATCTCTCATACACTGATGTTTCTCTTTCTCCCTCCTTTGACTATCTCACTAAAAATAAATAAAATCTTTTTTAAAAAATCAATAAAAACAAGTGATCCAAAACTTTCATTAGAGTCTCAAAGGAATCTGATCTTCTCTGAAATACTAACAACCATTCGTTTATGTGCTTGGCTTGGAGGATTCAGAGGTTAACCAGAGGCCACACCTAGAGCAGAGAGCCTGAAATCCGGCCTGAACTCCCTGTATGGAGAGCCTGCCTTGTAACAAGTCCCCAAAGTTACAAAGAAAGATCTGTACTGAGATAACCCTCCAAAGGTGACAATGAGCCCTAAGGAACTGGTGGCTTTATCCCAGCTTTACCCAGGGGGGTGGGGCCGAGGGTGGGTCTTAGGTGGGTCACATTGCCTCTAGGAGCCTTCTGGCCTTTGCATAAAGGCCCCAGTAGATATCCAATGACAGGATTCCTACAGTTCTTTTATGAGTGGCATGTGTTGTAACAAATTAGAAATGAAGTCACCAGCTCTGCTGGCGGGGCTGAAATTTATACGTATTTCCCTCTCGTTTACCCAAGAAATATTTGTTGCCTGCCTACTGTAAGTAAAACGTTTGCTAGGCGTTGAAGGCACAATGGTGAGGAAGATGCAGTGACTTCTTCAAGGGCGGCCAAGTCTAAGGAGGGGATGAGAAAGTAAACAGGCAACAAAACAGGAAGAAAGTGCTTTGATCGGGACAAATCCAGGGGACACTGAAAGGAACACCTGATGGATCCGGTCTGGTGCGATCAGGAAAGGTTTCCTACCAGCTTGGCGTGAGAGCTGGAGGAGGAGGAGTTGGCCAGAAGAGCAGAGAGGAAGAGATGCAACTTGGAGTGCGTTGCCAAGTGCAGAAGTGCAGAGAATGGAAGCTGAGGGGCCAGCAGGGGCCGGATCATGGCTCCCCATAAATCACACCACAGCAGTGTACTGTCTGCTGCTGGTGACGGGAATCTGGGAGAGGTTGTACATGGAAGAGTGGCAAGAAGGGGTTTGCCCTTCAGGAAGCTCATTCTAGTTGCAGCAAGGGAGAATAGACTGAAGGGGTTTGAAAATAGAAAAGGAGAGACTCATTAGGAGGTTGTTTCCATTAGGAAGACATGGCCGTGAGTGATCTGAATAATTGCAGCTAATATTTTGAGCTTCGTTATCTCATTTAATCTTTGCAACTCTATGAGGCAGATAGAATCCCTCCCATTTAATGATGGGAAACCCAAGGAACGGAAGAGCTAAGGAACTTGACCAAAGTCACACGGTAAGTGGTGGCAGTGGAGCAAGGTAGGTGCGCTGGAAAAATATTTAAGAGGTGGTATGGTCCCTTCTGGATGACTAGTTTATTCAACTAATACTACTGACCAGGAGGGTGGCTAAAAGAGCAGGAATTGTCAAGTATGACGTGCAAGTTTCTAGCCTGGATAACTAGGCAACGAGTGAGTCAGGAAATAGAGGCAGGTGGGGGTGGTAGAAGAAAGTGGTGAGTTCAGTGTGCGGTTTGGTTTTAAGGAACGCTCGGGTAATTTCCAAGTGGAGATACATATGAGGTAGCCATCTACAGGGGCTGCTATGAAATTCCAAATGAGAATTTGATGTCATCAGCTTCAATCTCTCCGAGTAGTATCAGTAAAAAACTAAACCACCTTTGGAGAAGCTGAAAACGATACAAACTTTGCACATGAAGCACTTAGGAAAACATACTATAGTAGCTTTAACCACGAAACAATTTTAGGTCACTACAGAGTAGTTTTTCTATTAATTTTACTCCTCAGGTTGGTTGGTTGGTTTTGTTTACTAATGGCCCTGTAAGTTTCCTGTAGAGAAGCAAGGCCCAGATCAGCTACACCACCGCAGAGATGTGTATCTAACCAATGCTTCCGAGTCCTTTTCTCCCAGGGCACACGAATTCCTTTTTGAACACTAACTTTTGAAACACTAAAGAACCATTGAACAAATGATCACTTCAGGGCACTCGATGGGGAACTAATGTCCTGGAAGCAGAGGCCTAACCAACCCCTAGAGAACAAAGGGAATCTTCTTTTTATAATAATGGTGAAGCATTAATATATCAAATAGCCGTACAGGGAAGACTCCAGGTGAATTTCTGCAGGTGAACTGGCATTTTCTTTTAATTTCCTTTCCAGAAATTAAAAATGCTGATCATGTAAACCGCAAAAGAGTTTTTAAAAAATGCTTTGATGAAATTTCTTTTCCAACTTTTGGCTATAGATTAACTCAAGTTTTTCTTCCATGTTTGTATTTTTGCCCAATTTAAAGCACTTCTACTCCTTACCTCTACCTAGACTGGCCCTTCATTTTCTTAAAAAAGATTTCATTAGAGAAAATTACTTGTAAGTAACTCAAAAATTGTGGACACAGCCTGGTAACACATAATCATTGCCATAATCACAATCACTGGCACCACCCGCAAGACGGTGCAATTATGTCATAAATAGGGAGCCTTTGACTGTTTCTAAGAGTTATCTGTTCTGGAATCCCAACACTGGATCAGTAGACATTGTTTTAGTATTCTTAAGACTAAATATCTCCTTAAAGCAAAAAGGCTTCCTTACATCTTTCCTTTTGGATGTCCTTCCCCCGCTAATGAGTCACGCCTACCAAATACTCCCATGTTGCTTGCCACCATCCTAATCTTCATAAGAAATTGTTCAGGTTTTTGCATCTTCCCAAAATATGACAATATCCAAGGGCTCACCAATGTACTCCCAAATTTCCAGAAGAACATCAGTACAAATGCATGAATGTAAAGATAACTGCACCCAAATTCAATGTATCTGATGAAAACCCATTTTATGAATTGGTGCTGGATTACTAAAATGATTCTCAGCTTTTTGATTTTAAAAATTATACTTTTAATTATAGAATATTGTTAGAATAATACAGATATAGAGAGACACTAGAATAACTGTGACCAATATACCACAAGGAAAACTGCTCTACACACTTACTCATCCACTCTCCACAACCATAGAAAACAGGCACAAAGTGTTCAGGGCGTGTGTGCAGAAGCAGCCAGAGTCTTGGGAGCAGAAGGCATGCAAAAAGCATTAGCAAAGAGAGTCCAATGCATAACTTCTACACAAAGTTCAACAAATGGGCAGCAACTGGCAGACAGAGAGGAGACAGAGCTGGTCTGGCCCTTGCCCTTTTAACTTCCCAGCTGGAGTGGACATGTATGGAGAGGTGGCTGGGGTACTTAAGATGCCAAAGCAGCAGCAGGCACAGGTTAGGGGCGGGACGGGAGAGTCGGGAAGGAAAAGAAAGTGAAATAGAGTTATGTCATGAAGATGCTGTCTTCTATGGCCACTCTAAAGCCCTAGGAGCTCACCGAAACAGAACTTTGATATTCATTAAAACCATCGGCAACACTGATATGGTACAAGGCATATTTTAGTTTAGTCATCAAGAACATGTAAGTCATTCAACAATTAAAACATGAATACCCTAGCAAGAGGGTATTGGTTGGCAAGAGGTCATATAGAACAAAAAACAGGCTCCCTGCCCGGGGTTTGTATTTAAATAGGAGTCACAACAGAAAAAAAGCTCGTTGGTGGAATGGGATTTTTTGCTACTTTGGAGGTCGTGTTAGTCCCACACAGCTGTGGGTCGTAACTCAGTACAGCACACTACTTTAGAGAGACCACTGGCTCTTTTAACACCAGCTGCCCAAGAGCTATGGCAAAAGTAGGTTTCAAATGTTAAAACTCTCACAACAAAGCACAGTAGAAATACCTTGAGGCACACTCAAAAATAAAAACTTTCCTTCCTTGAATCCCATCTCCTGGGCATTAATTCCCTTCCACTCACACCCTCAAATACTTGGATAAGCACAAACATTGGGGACATTCCTTAATTCTCAGTTGGGCTGAGGTGGGAGAACTGACACTACTGGGCTTAGATTAAGTCAACTGGTAATCACTTTGTATCTGTAGGCTGAGAGGATGAAAGTACATTCCTATACGTTTATTAATTCCTTGTGACTAGCCCAAAGAGAAGATATTCAGTCTCAGAACAGGACAATCAACCCATCTGTCCCGTCCTCATATCCCACAGTGGGCTGACACACATGAACAAGTGCTTAGTTCTGTCCAAGGGCAGACCTTACGAAAGAGTGCACACTAGAGCACTCGTGCTCAAATTTTTTCTTCATACAGTGAAAAGGACATTTCTCCCACTGGATTATGTCTGTAGCTCTGCTACACAATCAACATCACCCAGTCACATGCTACGTCTGTGTGAATTCTGTTTCTGCTATGGGAAAAACCACAGGAAGACACATTTTACTGTACACACACATGCCCTTACGCAAGCTAAGAGAAACACTGGGATGTGGCCCTTGTCAGATCCTAGAGTTAGCAGTATAGGAAGAAGTGATCTTAAAGGGCAAAGGGGAAAGAACACAGAAATGACCTGTGTTCCTTGGGAAGGGACTCTGCTTCCTTCCCTGAAGTCATCAATTCCACTTGCTCCTTAGGCTCCACCATCGCTTATGGTCCCATCTTTCCTTGAAGCTATTTTCATTGCAGTGTTCCCTACAATGATCCCCAAAGGAAATTAACAAATTCTGATTAGTGGCAATAACAACAGTGGGCGTCAGTTGCTAAAATCACCATCACTGATGAGTCCTTGGTCCCCGAACCTGTTTCATTTTTCCTTGCAATCCATATCCTCAGTTAGCTTTCACAAAAATGCAAGCTTTAAAAAAGCTAATTAGAAACAATGAGAAGAAAAGATATGATCATTGCCTTCAAAGTGCAGAATCCAGCTCTCAGGAAGTTGGAAAGCTACAAGTGCATGAGCAATTCAAGGAAAAAGCCCTTTGAAAGGGAAGATGTATGTGCCCAACTATGGTAAGTGAATAAGTGTGGCAATTCAGGCAAAGTCTCTCATCCTTTTCCAAAAGAGCTGTGGCCACCCTATTACAGTTCAACATTGATTGCCCTTAGCACAGTTTTTTGAGTCAGGGCTAGAAGAAGAACTTTTAAAAATTTACTCTATTTCCACGCCTGAGTATTTATCAGCATTTATCCTCTAGACTTCAGAGTTCCAGTTACTTGTGGGGCTGAGTTCAATGAAGCACTTCATTAATACTGCTTGAATAAAAATCACTATGTTTAAGAGGGAAGAATATTCCCAAAGCCATGGGTCAGAACTTCAAATGGCTTGTCTTCACCGATGTTTCAAACTGTGGCCTACGACAAGGAAATTCAGTATGGTATAAGCAGCTCAGTCTTGAGAGAGCTCTCTAATAGCACATAAAATTGTACCTTCAAGTGAATCATTTATCAGTCACAATTACGAGACTCAGTCAGTGTGAACTCTTTTATGTTTAATAAGAGCTGAGCTCCGGCTGAAACTCTTCTCGCATTCAGTACATTCATAAGGCTTCTCCCCCGTATGAACTCTTTGATGTGTGATGAGGTTGGAGCTCTGGGTGAAACCTTTTCCACACTGCACACACTCATAAGGCTTCTCTCCTGTGTGGGTTCTCTGGTGCTTAATGAGATCTGACCTTTCACCAAAGCTTCGCCAACACTCGTTGCACTCATAGGGCTTCTCTCCAGTGTGAATTTTCTGGTGTGTGATGAGGTGAGAGCTCCGGCTGAAGCTTTTCCCACACGCGTTACACTCATACGGCTTTTCCCCGGTGTGGGTTCTCTGGTGCTGAACCAGGTGTGAGATGCGGCTGAAGTTCTCCCCACATTCGTTACAGTGGTACGGCTTTTCTCCCGTGTGGGCTCTACGATGGCGCACAAGGTCAGAGTTCTGACTGAAGTTCTTCCCACACTCCTCGCACTTGTAGGGCCTCTCTCCCGTGTGGACCCGATAGTGCTTGATGAGATCAGACCTCTCACTGAAGCCTCGTCCACATTCATTGCACTCGTAAGGCTTCTCGCCTGTGTGCGTCCTCTGGTGCTGAGCTAGGTGCGAGCTCCGGCTGAAGCTTTTCCCACACTCCTCGCACTCATAGGGCTTCTCCCCACTGTGGGTCCTTTGGTGTTGGATTAGGTGCGACAGCCGGCAGAAACTTTTCCCGCACTCGTTACATTTGTGGGGCTTTTCTCCAGTGTGGATTGTCTGATGCTGGATGAGATGAGAGCTTCTTCCAAAACTTTTCCCACACTCGTTACAGTCGTAGGGTCTCTCCCCAGTGTGTGTTCTTTGATGCTGAATAAGGTGCGAGCTCCGGCTGAAGCCCTTTCCGCATTCATAACACTTATAGGGTCTATCTCCAGTGTGGGTTTTCTGATGTCGATTAAGGTCTGAGATCTGACTAAAGGCCTTTCCGCAGTGAGAACATATGTGGTATCGGATACCTGTGTGAGCCTCTTTGTGGACAAGCAGATCCGTGACTTGCTGGAGAGGATAGCTGACCCACTCTTCTGCTGTCAAATCTCCCCACTGTCCTTCGGCTCTATCCCTGCTCTCAAAGGCCTCTTCACTTTCAGGATTTTCTTCAGCATTCCCAGCAGGTCTTTCAGATGCAGTCCCAAATTCTACATCGTCACTAATCTCTTGCTTTGGATTCACCTCGTTCTCACTCCTGATCTCAAAATCTGTAATAAAGAGTAAATAATAATAATAATAATAATAATACTGATGAACACACAAAAATTATCTACTGTGTGCCAGGCACTGTGCTAAGTCCTTTACACGAATTACCTCACTTGCCATGAGAGTCAGGCATTATGATGATTTGTACTTTATAAATAAGAAATGCAAGACTAAGAGAAGTGACATCCAAAAGGTCATACTCACAGATACAGAGAACAGACTGACATGTGTCAGTGGAGAGGGAAGTTGGGAGTTGGATGAAGAAGGCGAAGGGGTGAAACGGAACAAATGGGTGGTTGTAGAACAGCCAAAGAGTGCAGATGGCAGCATGGGAAATAGAGTCAGTAATGTCAAGATAACTAAGTACTGGGCTAGGTGGGAGCTTGGAGCAGTGGGGGGACCACTCTGCAGAGTACATGGTTTTCTAGCCACTTTGCTGTACATCTGAATGGTACTTACTGAATGTAGACTGTGGCTGGGAAAAAAAACAACAACACAGAAGGTCATGTAGTAAATGGTGGAGCCAGGATTCAAATTCAGGTTTGTCTGATAAAGGTTCATGCTCTGTACCAATAATGTCAATGGTTCTTCGTAAAAATTGTATATATTCCTGATTTTTCAAAAGGAGAAAACCAGGAAGAGAGACTATAAGACTCTAAATTAGAATTTCTAATAGCCAAAAGCCTAGATACTTTATATATGAATGCATGTGTGTATATGTGTTTGTTTTTAACTGATCAAGCCTTCATCATTACTATTATATAATATTTACTAAGAACCTCCTGGGATAGCATAGAGAAAAATGACTTTTTTATCTATTTATATCAAGGTTTTTTAAAAGATCTCATTTATCCATTTTTAGAGAGAGAAGGGAGGGAGAAAGAGAGGGAGAGAAACATCAATGTGTGGCTGCCTCCTCCGCGCTCCCTGCCGTGGACCCGGCCCACAACCCAGGCATGTGCTCTAGTTGGGAATCAAACGGGCGACCCTTTGGTTTGCAGGCTGGCATTCAATCCACTGAGCCACATCAGCAGGGGCTATATCAAGTTTTAACTGACCAAAAAAGTGATTGATCGCCAAATGATACTTTCCAGTGACCTTTTAATGAAAACAGGGGTGGGAAGGTTGGAGAAAGCAAAAAAGATGCCTAGCGTAGGTCACTCTTGGCACTAAGTACAGTCTTCAAATGGAAGTCAAAATATACAACCACTCTGTACAAAAAAACTTTCTACCAGACACTGCATTTCCCAAACTGTGTTTCTTAGTACACTCTTCAGAAAGTGGTTACTAGGTATGCTGGGAGAAAAGGGCTCGTGGATAAATTAGTTTGGTAAATGATGTATGCAACATCTTCTTAGAAACTCACAGTGTCAGATAACATGTTAAAGGTGCTAAAGAGTCTTGATGCAAACAAGCCTGGTAAACGTCATTTAACCCACTCCCAAACTTACTTGGGCAAAAACCTTTTTTTTGGTGCTTCCATGCTTCCATCCTTAAGTGCTCCTTGGACTGAATCATAGACATATAAATGCATATTTCTTTAAGATTCTTATTTCTTACTTTTGTTGGATTAAGTGGAATATTTGGGAAACAGATTGCAATAAATCTGGGTATATAACTTCATTTCCAGTTGCTTTTCTAAAGGACGGATCCAAGAAACTTGGGACATCAGAGAGAGCCCAAGTTAAAAAGAAAACCTCTCATATGTGCCTTTTGTCCTGGAATAGGCTATAGGAATAAAGATTTCAAAGACAGGATTAGTCTTTAATGAGTGGCAGATCACCCAGTGAAGCTCACATGGTTGCTAACATGGTTCACAGTTTCTGTCAAGTCTAAACAGGAGACGAAGTGAGTTTAAAGGCTGTTCAGCTCAAGAACGTACTATTTGTTCTGGTTATACTGGGACCAAAGGACAGCTAAGAGAAATGACAGGATTGCTGATCATCAAAAAAATTAGCTTCCCTCACTAATATACCAATTTGTAATCTCATTTAGTTCAGGATTTTCTGGAACAACACCTGACATACTCAAATCTACGATCAACTCTGGAACATCTCTAGACAAGCACCTACTCCAGATATAGGACCTAAGGCAAAGCTAGCGCTCTGAAGCCAGAATGAACACAGAAAGGTGGCTTTTGTCCTCACATGACCCTGGGGCAGAACCCTCCCATCTTCTAGTAAAAACATATTTATGGGGGCATTTAAAATTTGTATTGATCTATTTTCAGAGAGAGGAGAAGGGAGGGCAAAAAAGAGGGAGAGAAACATGGATGTGCAAGAGATACAGCAACTGGTTGCTCCTTACACACCCGCAACTGGGGACCTGGCCTGCAATCTGGGCATGCGCCCTAACTGGGAACTGAACCCGCCACCTTTCAGTTCGGTTTGCAGGCTGGCACTCAATCCACTGAGCCACATCAGCCAGGGCTATGGGGGGGTATTTATATCCTGGATACCAATTTATCAGATTTGTTTGGTCAGTGACTTGTACAAACGGGCTGGAAAAAGGCAAATGTCTCAGAGCACAAGAAATCTAAATGTTTTTAAAATATGCAGAAACATTCTTTCTTTTTAGACAACACGACCCTGATGTTCCCACACTCAAATATTTGTGAGGACTCAACTCAAGCCAATATCCAGTTTAGTGCCTTAAAAATTAAACAAGTAGGTTGTGTTGAAAGAGCTAAGCCATTTTTGACACAGCCTCAAAAATGTGGGGTGAAGAATGGAAGAGAACCCTTACTTACCTAATGAGACAACATTTCCATAATTCTCCTGCATAACATCCCTGTAAAGCTCTCTTTGTGTAGGGTCCAGGGGTCTCCATTCTTCCCGGGTGAGGTACATGGCCATATCTTCAAATGTCACGGGTGCCTGAAATCACACAATGCTTCCTCATTACTTGGTATCTCAGAGGTTAGGACCAGTTTTTCTCCTTGAAATTACAGACATGGTTAGAACTGCTGAGGAAGTGAAAGGTATTAAGTCTGCTTTGTAGAGTCCAAAGAGGAAAAAAAATGGGTGGTGGGTTAAGTGCCGGGGGGGTGGGCTGGTGATGAGGCGAGGGTTTTTTGTGGGGTGGGGGAAAAGCTAAAGAGAGATATAGTAAAGAGGGGAGCAATTTGCAAGCTAATTGCTCTGGATGAATGACCAGATATCCCTGCCCACCATCAGAACCTTATCCTCTAGCTGTACTTTGCTCAGAACACATCTAGCACCTCTGTCGCTCCATACCTTCACTCACAATCTTCATCTTTTCCTGGAATATCTTTCTTAAACTACAGATATCCTACTATTCTTTTTTTCACCCTAGATGAGGAAAACCTTAAACTGACAAATATGTAAGTGACAAAGGGTTTTAAGAAATTAAAAAAAAAAACATATGAAGCAAAATAAGGTACAAATATAAGAGCTGGGCCTTATATTTGGAAATATACCATCTGAAAATTCTACTCTTCTTTCAGGCCCTGTTCCGGTACCAACTATTCTTGAGTGCCCCTCCTCCCTCGGACCCCTGGGATAGAATTAATCACTCCCACTCCTTCGTTCCCACACAGCACTTTGTTCTTCAGAAAACAGAGCTCTTATCACGTTGTATCGCAGTTAACCGGATACATCCATCTCCCTATAGATTGTGAGCAAGGGCCCGTTTCATCCATCTTTTCTCTCTCCGGTATTTAAATGCATAAGGCAGGTGTTCAATAAATACTCGTCTGTGGCTAAACAGGTCTGGTACTAGATCCCTGGAGGCAGAATACGGAAACGAGCTAATTACTAATCCCAGGAAAATTCCCATAGGTACTTGCAGAGCAAAGTAACGCCGGGACCAGGTGGGTAAGCAGAGGCAGGGTCCGCGAAGCCACCCCTGGCTTACCTGGGACCCAGCCATAAGCAGGGTGGCTGCCATCTCGGGCTCAAGGATTCGCCTCCCAGGAGAGAGAGCAGGAAAAGCGGCTAGCAGACAGCACTAAAGAAGGCGAAAAGCAGGGCGTGAGGCATAGAAAACAGGCCCTGCCCACTCCCCAGGGCTGGAGTTCTGGTCGCCAGGCGGCTGGGGAGGGCCCTGAGCCCGGGCAGGGTCACTCTCCTCCCTGACCCTAGAGCGCTACCCGCCCTCTGTGTCTCCGCCACCATGGGGTGGAGGCAGTGCCGGAATTTGCTAGGACAGCTCCCTGGCAATGTCCCTGCCGGGCCGGGGGTCAAGCTGCTGCAGTCTCAGGGAGGAGGCTCCCAGCCCAGCCCACGGAACGCCTCCGCTCTTGCATCTTGAGGCTGGGCCCTTTCCGGCAGCTGCCTCAGCCAATCAGCGAGCGAAGCTCGAAAATGCTCTGCCAATGAGAAGCCGAACACTAGGCCGGCCACTGTAGCACGACCGGGAGCCTCTATCACGCCTGCGCCTGCCCCTGTGGCCTGTCGGGAGTTTGAGTTCCATTCTGGCGTACAAAGGCCAGTCAGGGGCCAAAAGCCAAGGAGGGAAAAGAACAAAAGGGTAAAAAAAGAAGCGCGTTCCTCCTAGCCAAGACAGAGTATCTTCTGCTTTCTTCTGTTGGAGACAAAAGCCCGATTAAGGCAGGGAAATTGCCCTGCTTGTCCTCACGTCCCTAGAAGTTTATCTTGAGTAGAAACTTAATTGCGATGTCGGGCCTAATTTAGGCGCTGGCCTGCGTTAGCTTTCTCTGGAATTAGTACTCATTTGGCAGCCGGGGATAGAGAGGAAAGAGGCAGCCGCCCACTCCCCAGGGGAGACTCAGCATCCAAGATGTACAACTTTGAGCTTGGCTCACGCACTACATCTCCCATCAGCGCCCGCGGCGTTCGCACGCTGCTACGGGGACTGCAACTCCCAAGAGGCCCCGCGCCAGCAAAGGATTAGCGAGTGGGGTCCTAGGCTGGGCCAGGCGGTGTCCAAATTCTGGCGCTGTTAACCCTATAGGGGAGTCTGACCGCGTCTTTCTAAAGAGGGCGACCCTTAAGGGGTGGGCTGAGTTACGCCTAGCAGAGGAAAAGCCTAAACCCTGAGCAAGGGTGGGGGATAGGGCGCGTGAGGAGGAGCAAGCCCGGCAGACCTCAGACTGGAAGGGGCCGACCTTACGATCCTGAGGGTTTGTCCGCCCAAAGGGTTCTTGGTGGCCCCTGGCAATGATTGAGACTCTGAAGGCTTGAGCCGGGTGGCCCCTCGGGATGTTAGCAGTCCGTGATCGGCTGAAAATGAGAAGCTGAAAACCCGAGCTGAGAACAAACAGACTTACCTCCTGGCCTGTAAAAGACCCACGAGATCCCTGCTCCAAGATCCGGGAGGCCCCCAAACAGATTCCGAATCCGCAGGCGGAGTTCTTCTGAGACTTCAGGCTTTAGGAAAGATTCTAGAGATAGCTACCGGCAGATCCCGGATATTTCAGATCCGCAGGTAGATCTCGAATCCGTAGACTTGCAGGCAAAGCCCAGAGATTGTAGGCGGATCCCAAAGAGTCTCAGGCAGCTCCGAAACCACAGGCTCATAGGCAGATCCCTCTGAGACCACAGTGGCTAGCCAAGAAATACCACCAGCAGCTAAGCTGCATTCAGCTGGATTTCTTCCGAACGGAAGGACTCACAGCCTTCCCTTTCCCCAGCCAGGATGAGAAAATTAGACAATGGAAGCCCAGCACTAGGAATGGCAGGCATTCTGCGTGGGGAAGAGCTCTGAGCTCGCTGTAGCCTTGGAGAGGGAAGTGATGGAAAAAGAATATAGCAGCTTATTAGGGACTCCCACCCTCTTCAAGTTATAAATATCCCCAGAACCTTGGCTATGTGCCCAGAAGCCTGTTGTCTCTAACTGTACAGGAGACTTCTCTGCCTGCTCTGGGAAAGGGGCTTTGCTTTTGTTTTGCAGACACATCCACCCACTGAGTGACTTGAATTTCTTTTCTCGAACATAACTCCAGGCTATGCTTTTATTGGTGAGTGTCCTGTTCCCAGTGCCCGGTTATTTATGGTTAAATTACTCAAGTGTCTAAAAGGAACTAGGACTCTCTTCAGCCATGAGGCAGACTCTCCTCCTCCTCCTCACCCCAAACTGTGAGGGTAGGAATAATTTAGATACCACAGGATTGTACCATTACACCCCAGCTAAAATTGGTAGAAGTACCGCCACCACTACCATCACAAAAAAAGAAAAGAGTCGCAGAGGGTCCCCGGAAGGCAGTCAAGATCAGACAGACCTGGGTTGGGATCCAGGCTGTGTATCCTCTGGAAAGTCTTTTAATCTCTCCAGGCCCATTTCCCTTTCTGTAAAATGGGGTGATCACACCTGAGGTGGCGGTGAGCACCGAACGAGATGACTTTAAAGTGAGCACTCATATGATAGTTGTTATTAATCCTGCCTTGGGTGACTTCCAAAGAGGCCTGTGGACATGTTCACTGGCTCAGAAAATCTGAGATGTCAGAATAGCTTGGTAGCTGTGAGTTTCTGCTGGTGACCTTACCCTTCCATAATGTTTCTGCTGGAAATCCAGAGGGAACTAGTAGATGGACCAGTGTGGTGAACTGAGCCCAGTAGAGCAGAGGTGTTTAGAGTTGCCAGGAACCTAGCACGTTAAGGCCTCACCCTTAGGGAACCCTCGGGGACAACAGGAGGGAGATCGGTTCCTACTGTGGCTTAATAATTGCGGGTATCTAACTGGGCCTAAGGTGAAGAGAGCTGAGTGGCCAAGTCCCTCCGCTCAGCAGGGCTTGCTTTTCATCCCTTCTCTGACAGATTGCTTTGTAAACTTTCTCAGGCCTTTTCTCCCCACTTGCTCCAGTGCTTTAAATCCTTTGTCCTCGGCTGTTTCTTTTATTCCTAGGCCCGGCTGGGGGCAGGGCGACCCTCTAAACCCAGCTTGGCTGCTAGTCTCCTGTAAGTGTTTTTCTTTCTTCACCTGGGATCCTCCAGAGGGTGTAGAAGAGAGGCTGAGAAAGATGGGAAGCGTGACTGCTTTTGTTGCACCGGGGTGGGGGGCTGGGGGTAGGGGAGATGAAGGTGGGGGGAGGAAAGAAAGTGGGTGAGGGGCTTCCTGTTGCAGCCTTCAGCTGGACTCTGAGGGTTGAGGTCACTGGAGGAGGAGGTGACTTCCTGCTCATTGTTCAGGGCTTCATTGTTTCTCAGGAATACTTTATTGTACTTGGGTTTTTGATAACCAACTTGGAAAACTGTATTTGTCCCATCATTCGGCAAACAATGAGCACCTACTGTGTGCAGAGGCAGCAGCACAGCCTATCCCCTGGGAAAAGGGGCCAGAAGAACCATTTGTCCAGGGTCTCCAGACAGAGTTGTAGGTTATGTCAGATCCACTGACAATTTGATCAAAGATCCTCCTTGTATGTCCTTAAGCTTGTTTCTTACTAATAGGCCACCCTGGCTAGGGAACACTGTAAATTGTTGTTTTAATAAACCCTATCATTGTCTTGTGAGCTGCGCAATTATGTTGTAACTTTTTGTACTACAAGTATTAATTTGTTAAACATTTAAAACTGTGCCTCCATATTTGTGATGATGTTTTTTCATCTCTTCATTTTCAAATTATACCTGGAATATAAAAAAAAAACTGAAGTGACCTGGGCTTCTCTCTTGACCCTGCCAGGAGCAGTGATGAAGCCTCAACACAGCCCAAGGAGCTGGGGACACACCGACTTGCAGTCATTGCAGTCCAGCTGTTAGAGTGTAAGATGATGAGCTAGCTAGCGTGCACCAAGGAGAGGGGCGAACTCCTAGCCGGGGGACAGGAGGAGGCTTCACAGAGGAGATGACATCTGAGCTGGCTTGCAAAAACTGTAGGAGTCTTGTAGGTGGAGAACAAGGGGAGGGACAGACAGCATTCCGGTCTACAAGAACAGCATGTGCAAAGTCATGGAGGCGTGAGAGGACAGAGCGTGTTCCAGAATGGTCAGGATTGGGGACAGCTAAAGGGAAGAGTGTGGGCAGGGAGTGACAGGGGGAGGAAGCAGAGTGAGGACAGTCTCTTACGCTCCTTTGTCTGCCTGCCTATTTGTCTCTGCCTTTGGCTGTGGATCAGCCAAGCTGGTGATGAGGTGCAGATGAGGGGGCAGATGGGGACTGGCCTGGGGTGAGAAGAGCAGACTGACCTTGCAGGAAGAGGGGGGGTGGAGAGGATTAGGAAGCTCTTTATGACCTCATGCGTTTCAGCTGGTTTTCTCCTGAGACTATCACCATGGTAAAAAAAAAAAAAAAAGGTAAACAATGGCATTAAAATGATACAACAAACTTATCTCATTTGTTTAGCCTACTTAAAAGCATCAAATAGGCCCAGATTCACCAAACGTGTTTACTGTGTCCCTGTTCGGTACCAGAGACTGTGCCAGTACCAGCTACTGAAGAAAATTCAGACTCCTTGCTTTGCCTTTCCCAGTCCCCCTCCACCTGCCTTCTGCCTTTGGTGGCTTATCTTCCATCCCCACTGCCCATTTGCTCCAGCCTAATGGAGCTGTTGCCCTCTTCCCGAAAACCTGATGGGCCTTCCCAAATGGGACTGCCATTGCACACCGCCCCCTCACAATGACTGCACGGCTGCTGTGAAGACTACATGCAAGAATGGCTGCAATCGCATGGGCACAGAGGAAGGCCTGGATCCGCAGTTGCCATCACCGTCAGGGGGGAAGTAAATGAATCACCTCTGTGAGGTGAAGCCATATTTCCGAGTGGCTCACAGCAGGAATAGGGGCCTAGGTTCAAGTTCAGATTCTGCTCCCGAAACCAAATTACTCTCTGAACCTTGGTTTTCCCAGTCTGTAAAAAGAGTATAATAATACAATTCATAGAGACAGAAAATAGAATAATATTGCTTGCCAGGGGCTGGAGGAAGGGGGAAATGGGGAATTGTTTAATTAGGTGTAGAGGTTCATTTTGCAAGATGAAAAGAGTTCTGGAGAATGGCTGGACAAACATGTGAATGTACTTAACATTACTGAATTATATGTAGCCTTAAAAATGGTTAAGGTGGTAAATTTTATATTACTTATACAATAAAAAAAAGCATAATAGTCATGGCTGGTGTGGCTCAGTGGACTGAATGCCAGCCTGTGAACTGAAGGCTCATGGATTTGATTCTCAGTCAGGGCACATGGCTGGGTTGCGGGCCAGGTCCCCTGTTGGGGGTGTGCAAGAGGCAACCACACACTGATGTTTGTCTCCCTCTCTTCCTCCCTTCCCTTTCCTAAAAATAAAAAAATATATTTTTAAAGCGTATAGTAATGTGATCTAGTTCAGGGCATCTCAGGGTTGTCTGAGCAATATAAATTGCTCCCCTGTACTCACAGTTGTAAGAGCTCACATTTACTAACTAGGTACTTGGTGTCAGGCATGATTCTAATGAGTCCTCACAACAATCCTTGGAGTCCGGGGCTCTTGTACCATTTTACAGATGAAAAGAAGAGGCATGGAGGAGGTACACGAGGTGTCCAAGATACCCAGCCAGCAAATGCTTAAGAACTAAGAAATTATTGTTGACAGATACTGCCACACAAAGAATCCATCATCATTATTATTGTCTTGGTAGAATGCAGTGTAATTACTAGAGTTTCACAGTGCTCTGGGAGTTCTGAGGAACCATCTCTTGTGACCAGGAGACTTCGCAGTAGATGTGCAGTACATCTGAGATAAGCCTTGAAGAACAGGTAAGATTTGGACAGGGTAGGGGCGAGACAATCACTAGAGGCAGTCCCATTTGGGAAGGCCCATCAGGTTTTCAGGAAGAGGGCAACAGCTCCATTAGGCTGGAGCGAATGGGCAGTGGGGATGGAAGATAAGCCACCAAAGGCAGAAGGCAGGTGGAGGGGGACTTGGAAAGGCAAACCAAGGAGTTTGAATTTTCTTCAGTAGCTGGTAGAAATCCACAGAAGGTGAGTGGGGAAGGCCATGGAGGGAAGATGCAGGTAAGGTAGGGAGTGCTTTGAATTGGGAGATGAGCAGAAAGTCCAAGAGAAAAGCAAGCCGGAAAGACAATGTTGATGGGGATGGCAATGGAGAGAGGGGTCGGACAAGTGGGAGACTATATAACTGGTAACAGGGCAAGGGGAAAGGGTCAAAGAGGGTGCAAGTAATGCACTAGTAGTTGAGAGGAAAAAAAGGCAGAAGAGCGGATTTAAGAAAGAAGTTGTGAGTTTAGTTTCAGATTAATTGTATTGAGGGGGTAGGGAGGGGGGCACTGTTCTTGGGGGAGATATTCAGATAGGCACTTGGCAGCTTAAGTCTTGAGTTCAAGAAAACTCAGGGCTAAAGTTAGAGATCTGGTAGTCTGGACTACTAAGGAAGACTTCTGATTCCATATACTATTTCAGATTCCTGTAACCTTCTGAAACCTCTTCTAAATTTGTCATAGGATCTTGAATGTACTTTTGTTTTCAAGTTCTTTGGGCCGTAACACTCCTGGTGAAACCTCTCCACCATCCCAACCCCGATGCCCCTACGTTCACCTCCCCTGACCTTGTCTTTTTCCTCCCATATATAAGGCAGCCACCTGCCCTCCCTAGAAGGCCTTCCGGGGTGGCAGAAGTTAGTGCTGACTCCCTGGCCGCTCACGCCCTCGTCATCTTTGAGAGCAGGCTGCTTCCGGATGGTCTAACACGCTGGAGGCGGTTTCTCACATAGGAAGGTGAAGATGGAGTTAAATCCTGTGTTCCGACCAATGGTGTGTGCAGACTGTGGGGCAAGAGTACAGCACGTGGGGGCCTTGCAGACTCTGCCAGGAGCAGTAGGGAAAGAAAGCAAGGGAGGTTTTAAATGGGGTGGTAGAGTCGGGGACTATAACGGCCCAGATTTGCGATTTTGGAATGCCTGTCCTGGTCTGCGCAGTGGGTCCAGGGGGACACAGAAAGACCGGGTGGGAGGGTATGGACACCTGCTGGTGAGCACAGTCTGAGGCCTATTCATATTTTTCTGGGTCTTTCTATGAGTGTCGATGTGTACTGTATAGTTGGGCAGACTGGAGCCAACCAGTTCTTTTGCTGTTTATTTTGACTCATCTCCTCTGTAAAGAGTAAGGTGGTTAAGGGTGGAAGGTCAGTTCTGTATTTGTTCCCAGGCTGTAAACCCCTATGACATGGGGAGCACAATGAATATTTACGCTGTGACTACTGAATGTCACCCCAGCCTGCCCCCTTTAAAAAGCCCAAGAGTGACATGTATTGACATTATTAAATTGATAGTAGTTACTGTTTTGTTCTGCTTTTGTTTTCTAGACATTTAGGTGGAAGATTAGATGATGCAGAGAAAAATCTGGATATCTAAATCCTTATTACTCAAGTGTGGGCCAAGCATGGACATCACCTGGAAGCTTGTTGGAACTGAGAAGTCTCAGGCCCCACCCCAGACCCACTGAATCAGACTTTGCATTTTAACACAACCCCCAGGGCATTCCCAGCCATATTAAAGTTTGGGGAGCTCCTGGGTGTCCATGCAGCGCCTGTCCACACTTCCACAGGTAACATCCGTACCTTAGACGTACATCACATCCCGTCCAGTATGGAAGTCTGTGCCTGTGATTTCTTTTCCCGCCAGGCCGGGAATTCCTGGAAGGTACACACCAACCATTGTGTATGGGCCTGGACCTCTCTTTGCATCGAGCACAATGACAGGAAGCAGAAGACCTGGGTTTCGGTCCTGCTTCTGCCATTTAAAGCTTGCGTGTGTTGCATCTTCTGTGAGAGAATTTTCAAGCCTTCCAAAGGACCCGCCCCAAATTTGACTATTGAAAAACCGAAGATGGTGGCAGATTTCTGTACACAGTTTATTCACAGGCTTCATCTAGGAGGAGGTACTAGGCGGGTGGAAGGAGGAAGGTGGTCACCAATTCAGAGTGGGTGATGCTCAGGGCATGTAAAGAACTCTGGCTGAATTTCCTCCAGGCAGCTGCCCTAGGGCTGTACCAAGACAGATGGAGACCCAGCAGCCTCTGCACAGTCACCCTGTGAGGTAGGTACCAGCACTACTCCTGTTTTTGCACGTAGGGAAATAGCTCAGAGAGGGCGAGTGACCTGCCCAGGCTCCCAGGAGTTCATGGGCTCCTGCCCGTGAGCCGTTTCAGGAAACAGCACCCAGGAGGCTCAGGCTTGGGCTGCCAGAAGGCCAGGGGCATTGAGAGAAGGAGACCCCAGACAGGCCCACCAGACCTGCTCCCAGGTCTTTCCCAGAAGACTTTTGACTAAAGCACCTTCCTATCAGCTAAAAAAGTAAGCCGACGTCACCGTGGCAGAAGCATGACAAAGAACCCTTGCCCTGCAGACCTTTTCTGGAGCTTGGGCCCCAGATAGCGCAGGAAGGACACATTGCCAGGGCCAAGGCAGAGTCTGGGGCGTGGGGCTCAGGACCTTCCAGGGGAACCGAGGGCACCACTGTACCCTTCAGGTGGAAAGACTCAGTTCAAGATAATCTGCTCCCTGACTCAAAGGCCCCAAAGCCAGCTATGAACAGGGAGTAACAGAGCTTGGGAAAAGATAAAGATGCAGAGTAGGGGGAAAAAATCTTCCGACATGGCATGGAAGTCATGTCCGCCGGAGCCAAATCACCATGCACAATCACCCTGTGCGGTGCAGATTTGTGCAGAGGCTGCAGGGTTCCGTGTGCGTGACTCTGGGGTGGGGCGCAGTAAGACTTGCGTCAGTCTTTCATTTTGCAACTCAAAAAAGGTTGAGAAGTTCACATGTGAGGGAAGGGACCCAAAGCAAAGGTCTGCCAGCTACCGTCAAAGATTTGACACCTCTTAGCATGGTCGCCTAATTAGGCTCCCTCTGTTAGCCAGTCTTATCAGTAACCGATGATTAATTTGTGGAAGGATTCTCCCTCTGATCCCTAGTGCCCCATTCAGAGTTCAGCATTTTTTTTTTCAGTTTCATTTTTATTTTTTCTCCAGTTATGATGGCTTAGTTCTTTCTCTTTGTTCTTCCTCAACTTGTTCACTGAAATCCTGGCTGGCAGGTCTATCAGCAGAACTACAAAACCAGAAAGGCAACACAATTTTAGAGCTTTCCCTGTATTACCCAAGGAGGCTAGGGGCAGAGGGAAAGGACATGGAAAAGTAGGGAAGGGCGGGAGCCACGCGGACCAGCGTCCAAATCCAAGCTCCACCATTACTGGCTGTGGGACTTCGAACAGATCACTCATCCGTGAAATGGGATCATAATGCCGGCCAATGGGAGAAGGGTATCAAGTAATGAATGAATGGAAATCTGATGCCAGACATGTGGTGGGCTCTCCATTCATGCTCAAAATATCTGTGATTATCACTAATCACTTGATTAGACTTTAGGCCCTCCCAATGGCAATGGACACTGTCTGAAAATGGTGTCAGAAGCCATGTAGCTGCCACCTTGAGTGGGCCCAGCCTCTCCGGCGAATGGGGATGAGGGGGAGGAACTGGACAGTCAGCAGTAGGCAGACTGTCCTTTGTCCAACAGGGACAATGGCAAGGGCCATCGCTTAGTGAGCGCTCATCTGCAATAGGCAGTGTTGGCATGTGTTAACTCATTTCGTCCTGACGGTTGCCCTGGGAGGTGGGCGCAGCCACGCCCATTTTCACAGGTAAAGACGCAACTCAGGTTAAGTGATTTGCCGAAGCTCCCACAACGCTAGTAGGTGACAAACAGAACAATAAGAGTGCTGGTTGCCATGTGCCAGGAACGTAGGTAGGTGCCCGGGGCTTTTTTTATGGTTATACAGGTTGTTCACCACACAAGACAGCCTGGCAAAGGGGCGAGCTGGGGCCGGAACTCAGGCTCTGCTCCGTTTGCCGAGCTCTGCACCCTGGTGCAAGGCTGCGGCTGCCTGGAAGCAGGGGCACCTTTCCCTATTTTGACAAAGGCAGCATACGAGCTACCAAAGATCCTATTAATGCCTCACGGACATTATTTCCCTGGCCCCCACAACACCTCTGGGAGCTAGATATAAACACCTCCACTTTAGAGAGGAGGAAATTCAGCCCGAGAGCACTCAGGTCACTTAGCCAAGTCACTGTGAGTGATAAAACCAGGATTTGAACCTGATGCCGAAGCCCGCGCCCTGAACCCCTGGGCCGCTCTACTGGCCCTGTCCCTCAGTGCTCAGTGGATGAAGGGAAAACACACAGTCCCCTGGCTGTAGAAACTCAGCTGACCAGGATTTGGAGCCTCGTCTTTCAGTGCTCCCGACTGTGTGACCTTCTGCTTGTTAAGCATTTTGGTAGCTCAATGTCCTCATCCAACAGTGAGAGTAGTATCATAAAGGAACACTTCTCACAGCTGTTTGCAACGTGTGAGTACATATGTAACCATCTTCACGTGGGGCTTGGAGAAAGGCATGGTCATCACCCTTTTTGCTCAGGGAGGTGAGTAAGATGCTCAGGGTCACACAGCAAGTAGGGCTGATTAGAGACCCAAAGCCAGGGCTTCTGCCTCCCAGCACCATGCTCAGTCCGGGGCTCCTTGCTAAGGACCTTTGAACTTTTGGAGTGTCAGCAGTCTGCCCTGTGGCCCAGACACCACACAGAGCACAAGCAAGTCACGTGGTCCTGGAAACTGACATTAATCACATGACCACGTGGCAGGAAGGAGCGCTCTGGAGAAGTTTTGCTCGGTTCCCAGGTCTGGAAACAAAACCTCTGTCTTCGCAGGAGCTGGGGCAGCCTAGTGTAATGTGAGCTTCTCTGGGGCTGCCTCGGCAAGGGAGGATGACTCGGGAGTGAGGGGTGGGGGGTGGCGAGGCCCTCTGACAGGGCTCAGCCTTCCTCATTTCTGGAGGTGGCCAGGTTCAGAGGAAACGACATCTGTTAAAACACTTTGTAAAGAGGTGTGGTCCACAGCAGAGCACTATTGTTTTTCCTCTGTGGATCTGGGTGGGGGGTGGGGAACGACGGATTCCATCTGCACTGAGAAGACAGTTTTGCCCATCCTCTGATAAATCATGGGCTGCTGCTCTCATCCCAGCCGGGTGCCTTCCAAGATGAAAACGTGCTCGTGCCCTCTCTCCCTGCCTCACCACCACCAACCCTCCCTGATCTCTAGCTCTGCACACCCACTCTGCACAGGCCGCTAAGCCCCGTGTGCACAAGGCCCTTCTTGGCTGTGGGTACACTACTCCTTATGTGGGGCAGCATCTGTGGATGACAAGGTTGAGGGTAGGGAGACGGAGAAAGATACAGACCTTCCAGCGATTGCCGCACTCATTGCATAAGACGAAGGTAGTCATGGGCTCATCAGCGCTCCGTGTCTGCACCTGAGACAGACCACTCATGAAGTCACTCCCCTGCCCCAGGACCTGCCATAGCTCCCACTGTCTGTAGTAGGTCCAAATCCCAGAGCTCAGCACTGTTATTTCCACCCCACTTTGGCATTCCCCCTTATCACTGAGAACTCTGTGACGTGTATTAAGGTGTATTTTCCTGTCCTCCTGCAGGTCCATCAGCTCACTTTCAGTAGCTCACTGGCTGGCCTTTGTACTTTCACTCTTGTTGAGCTTTCTGAACTGATCACACTTCTCTTGCCTCAAGACTCATCTCCTACAGGAATTATTCCCCGACTCTCCTCTGCACATGCCGTACTGGGTGAGCTGGAAGCACCCCCAGAGATCATGTAGCTTGCTCAACCGTGTTTGATGTCAGCTGGGAGTCTATGGGATGGGAGGTAGCCCCCCAGCTAATGAGGGAGCACAGCCAGAAGGACATGACTTAGCACAGCCTTGTCCCTGGAGAGCAAAGACACCTGAGGAAGGATGACATCGGGGTTCCTCTGTGCAGAGAAAACTTTGTTGATGGGCAGCGCACTTGTGGCAGGAGGGCAGGCGCAGGAAGCCCGCCCCTCCACAGGGCAGCGTCTCGGAGGAGAGCAGGAGCTTACACAAACATCTCCGAATTCCTGAATCGGCGTTCTCTGGGGGATGATTCCTGAGTGGCAAGGCCACCTGTATGTCTACTGTAGCCACAGGTCCCCACTGGCAGGGTGTTCTTGATACATCTTGCTCACTGACAGGTGGGAGAGTGAATCGACCATAGTCCAGGATGACTAGGTACCAATTAGAATCCAAGACCATTGGTGCCCCAAGGTCATAACGTGTGCCACCCACAACAGGGGGTGGTTTTCTGGTGTTTAAACTGGAGAAGCCGCCTCCATAGCCTACATGGCTCCCCACACAGGGGCAGGGGGCTTCACACTTAGGGCTCAGGGCTAAATGCCTCAGGCTTTACACACAGAGTTGGGGGCAGAAAGGTCTAGATCTAGATTTATTACTTGCTTTGCCACCAACCATCTCTGCCATCTTGGACAAAGCTGCAAAGCTTGTTGCCTGTTGGGGCCTCAGTGTCCCTGTGTGTAAAGTGAGGGAGCTGAGTCGTATAGAGCCACATTCCCTCCCAGCTGTCGGCGACTCTGCAGTTCTGTGCCCGATGAGTCTGGTTCCTCCCCGGCTTGCTTCAGGCCCAGCCAGAACACACTGGCCAAGCCTCCTCCATACAAATCTGGGTGACTGTACATGCAGAAGAACATTTTCTAGAAGCCACACTGGTGTGCAAGACCTGCCCTTTTCTCTGCAGCCTGGAGTATTAACCCTTTCCCCCTCTGGCTCTTCCCTGAGCTCTCTCTGGCTCATCATCTCTATGCCCCTACAGCTTCCTCCATCATGGGCCTCTCCCTTCTTCACCTTACCTGGTTATAGGTACAGTTCTTCTTCTTGCATTTCTTGCACTGGAAGAGGTCAGTGGTGGTGCCGCCTGTCTTGGCCATCTGGTGCTCACGGATGGCCTCCTGGGTCATGGCATTCCTCAACTCCCTCAGCTCATCGCTGGCCATCTCCTGGAGAGAAACAAGTCTGCCCTTCAGGGCCAGGGGGTCCCAGGGGTCCTGCCCCACGTGTGGTTTCTAGAGAGCCTGAACAGAGGAGGGGGAATGTGCTGGACGGAGTACAAGGAGCTGGAGGGAGGCCTGGACTCCTGGCCCTGCCCCAGATGGGAAAAGGCTGTACCCAGAGAGTCTCCATTCTGCCTTTGGGCGGAAGGGCAAACCTTGGGGGCTGTGGCTGGGCCGAGTGCAGAAGGGTGTGCACAGGAGAGCAGAAGGCAAACAGCTTCTGTTCTGGGTCAACACTCTTTCCTATGTTTCCTCAGAGCTGGTGCTCACCCAGCCTGCCAGGGCCTTGGGCACCTGCCTGAACCCTCCTCCTGGAGCTGACTTGACTAGTGACCATCTGGTCTATGATGTTCTCCTTATCCTTCCAGTCCGGACATGACCCTCAGCCTGTCCGAGCTATGATCACTGTCCAGCCCATTCAGCCTTGTGGGAACCATGGTCTCACTGTGACTTGCTGCTGCTGTCCCCACCCACCCTGCACCTGAAGCACCTGAGTTCACACCACGAACTGCTCACCTGTCAGTGCATCACAGGACATCTCTAAGTTCCTACAGAACAGACTCTCCTGTCTTGTGTCAAACACACTGCAGGCACCAAGTGTCCTCATTATCCCAGTCCTTCCTTTCTTTATCCATCTCCCTTCCCATCCGACTCTACCTCTGCCAGAGGAGGGCGGAGAGAACACTCAAACCAAAGAGACTTCTAGTTAAGGTTGGTTTGAGGGAAGAAGGACGGCAGGGCTAATGCTAAAATGAGTGAGGATTTGGTAGTGCCTAAATATTTTCATTGTTGCTTTTAACCTTGACTCTTTAAAGACTTTATTTATTTTTAGACAGAGGAGAATAGAGGGAGAAAGAGAGGCGGGAAATGTCAATGCGTGGTTGCCTCTTGTGCACCCCTACTGGGAACCAGGCCTGCAACCCAGGCATGTGCCCTGGGAATCGAACCAGGGACCTTTCGGTTTGCAGGCTGGCTCTCAGTCCACTGAGCCACATCAGCCAGGGTTACCCTAACTCTTTAAACTGAGAACAGAGTTGGCATGAAGGGCAAATGATTTTAGTGGCCGCTAAATCTAATGCTGACCACTGTATTAGAACCACTTGACCTTCTTAACAAAATGCAGATTCCTAGGAATCCAAAACTTAAAGAGCAGGCCCAGGAATATGCATTTTTATTAGTGTCCCCAAGTTATTCTGGTTCATACAAATGTTTAAATCCTACTGTGTTGCCCTGGCTGGGTGGCTCAGTTGGTTGGAGCACCATCCCATACACCAAAAGGCTGGGGGTTCGATTCCCAGTCAGGCCACATATCTAGGTTGCAGGTTTGATCTCTGGTCAGGGTGTGTATGGAAGGCAACCGATCAATGTTTCTCTCTCCCTTCCCCTCTCTCTAAATTCAATAATAAAAAATATCCTCGGGCCCTGACTGGTGTAGCTCAGTGGATTGAGGGCGGGCCTGCAAACCAAAGGATTGTGGTTCAATTCCCAGTCAGGGCACATGCCTGGGTTGTGGGCCAATTCCCAGCAGGGGACATGCGAGAGGCAACCATACACTGATATTTCTCTCCTTTTCTCTTTCCCTTCCCCTTTAAAGATAAATAAATAAAATCTAAACAAACATACCCTCAGGGGAGGCTTTTTAAAAAACAAATAAAGCCTACTGTGTTAAATACAACAAATAGGCCCTAACCCATGACGGGATATACAGAAAAACAAGTCAAGCCAAAGTGATATAAACAAAGGGGTTTATAATCTGGGGCAGTTATAATCTGACTTTAATCTGGGGAGATTCCCCAGAGCATAATGCAGCCGTTCAATCAGAATCCACTGGAGGCCGATTTATTGAATGTCTTTCACTGCACTGGTGTGCTGGTAAACCAGTTTCGACTGCAGGGGTGGCTGATCTGTATAGTCTTCACCCGTTTCCATGGTGTAAATATCCCCACCACAGCCAATTTCCAGCTACTAATGCAATGTGACTGAACACAGAGTTGGGAGGAGCTGCACAGGCGTCCTCCTGAGCTGCCCTGCCTCTCAGCCCTCAGGATTCGGATGAGCTTTGGTTCCCGTGCCCAGGAAATGCCAATCTGGTGGAGTCGCCATGCATTTGCAGGAGAGCTTAGGAAGTGCCGAAACAAAGGCACACCAAGTGCTGGGAAGCACCCGCCCACCCTGGGGTGGGCGCTAACTGCTTGGGAACAGAGTAGGCTCAGTACAGAGGCTGACACCTTACCCAGTCTTGATAGACAAGCAGGATTTTGGGGGAGGGAGGTGGCATACGCTAGACACAGAAAATAGTCCATGCAAAAGATCAGGGGACAAGAATGACATGTTTGCGGAAGGGCGTTTGGAGTGGCCTCAGGATGAGGAATATAGGAGACAGGGCTGGGAATCCAGTATGGAAAGACAGTCTTCTGTGCTCCCTGAGAAATAAAAACAAGCCCTGGCTGGTGTGGCTCAGTGGATTGAGCACCAGCCTGAGAACCAAAAGGTCGCCGGTTTGATTCCTGGTCAGGGCACATGGGTTGTGGGCCAGGTCCCCAGCTGGGGGCATGCAAGAGGCAACTGGTTGATGTATCTCTCACGCACTGATGTTTCTCTCCCTCTCTGTCTCCCTCCCTTCTTCTCTCTCTAAAAGTAAATAAACAAAATCTTTAAAAAAAAAAAAGAAAAAGAAATAAAAACAGAAAAAAAAAATCTGTCTGCTCACCCGCCAGTCCATTTACCTACCTCTGCCCTGACTCATTTACAAGGAGGCAGCACCCAAGACACATGGAGTAAGTACAATAACGTAGAAAGTACGAAAGAAGAATGAGGAAAAGGAAGGTAGGAGAAGGACCCCAAAGGTGAACTCAATAAATATTTGCTGCGCACTCATAATGTGCTGGGCACTGGTCTCGGTGCTGGGTGAGCGGTGAGCAGCCAGTACGCCCCTCGGCAGTTCCCACGGACATCTCAGAATCTACGCCAGTCTTTGACGTGTCTGGTAGGGAGGGGAAGATGGAAAGGAGGAGGGAATCTCGTGGACAAGGAAAGAGACGCCGAAAGGGAGTTAGGGAGACACAGGGACGCAGGGAGGGACATCTGTCTGTATAAGCATCACTGTCCCAGGCTCTCCCCCATGGGAGCCGACATCCTCTAAGCCACAGAGCAAACAGTGAGCAGCCCAGCCTCATGCTGCTACTTTTCTTATTGAAGCAAAAATGGTCCTATATTTCTTGTAGAAACTTCCTGTCTGGAGCAAAAGATGACCCCAGGAGGAAGATCTTGGCATCCATGTTGTCTGGGTTGCTGGCAGTGAGGGGGGTCCTTGGCAGCTGGCCCTGGCAGTCCCTTGTCTGCGGCCTGCTAGATTCCTGGCTCACTGTCCTCATTTTGGGCCTGGGTTGATGGCCCAATTCTCTTGCCCTGTCTCAGCGAACAGTCCTTGGGTGGGGCCTGACTTCATCCATGTGTCTGGCTTGGCCAGTTGCTTTGCTGGGACTTCTCGGGCCTGTCTTTGTTCTAATCCAGACACTTAGCTCTGTTCTGACCTCCAGCTTCTGGGAACTTGCAGGGTTTGGCTCAAACCTGTGCCAAACCTTGCTCCTGGTTCTGCTGGGCTTGCTTTCCCAACATGGCTCTGGAACTGCCTGTAAGACAGTCTCTTGACAGGATTCCCACCACACTCATGGGAAGAGAAGCAGAGGGGCCCAGAGTCACAGAGTGGGGCACAGAGAGAAATAAGCACAAGGCTGGGCTGCCATAAAAGTCACAGCCCACCTTGCAGGAAAGGAGCAGACACTGTAAAGCCAAGTTGCAATTTGTAACTCTGAGCATATATTGCTATTTGCCTAAAAAGATCAGATAGTGCAAATCAAGCAGAACTAGAACCCTGGTCTACTTGGGCAAGTTCCCCACTTTATTCTAAAGCCATGAAATGGTTACATGAAATGGTTGGTGAATGGGTCTATTATATACTACTTCTGGGGAGGGTTTTTCATGTATTTACTTTCTAAACTCACTCATTGCTTATGAGATATCCATTATTATTATTCCCATTTTACAGATGAGAAAACTGAGGCACAGAGAGGTTAAGTGGCTTGTCTAAGATCACACAGCAAAGTGGCGGAGGCAGAATTCAAACTCAGGCAGCTTGGCACAGCCCCCAAATTTTGAAGGTTCTCAAACAGGCTTGTTGCCTTTTCCTTCCCTTACCGACCCTTTCAAGCTGGATCAGCCCTTCCTTCCTGTACGTTCCCATGGTGGCCCCATTATGGCACTCCCCACCTGTTGTACACATACAGTATCTGTAAGTACACCCATCTCCTGTCCTTGGACTGTGCTCCATGGAGATGGGGACCCCTGTTCTGGCTTGGGCCCGGCGCTGGGTAATGGGACAGAGGACTGAATGAGTCAGAGGGAGGCAGATAACAAGGCATCAGAGAGCGGGCACTCTGAGGCCCAACAGCCTGCCTCCCGGCTGGAGTATTTTCTAGCTGTGTGTGCGGGCAAATCACTGAACTCCTCTGAGCCTTGGCCTCCTCATCTGTGAGACGGGGAGAATAAACATTTCTATCTCAGCTGGTGTGAGGACAGAAGTGGCCAGTGTGTCTAAAGTGCCAGCGCGGTGCCTAATATGCATTAGCCGTGTCCACCATCCCGATGGTCCTCACCTCTGCTGTCATCTTGGCAATGAGGCTGGTGGAGATGGCCCCACTGAGCACGTTCCGCCGCAGGCCAGGGTTCCTGGGGTCCTTGAGGTTGCTAATTCGGCTGCGCACGCGGTTCCGGTACTTCATGTCTGTGCTCTTGAGCTCCTGGTAGATATGTGACATGGTCAAGGGCCAGCCAGCCAGTCGCGGAGGGGTACAGGAGAATGGGGAGCCCCTCCCTGAAGGGAGGGGACTCGGGGCCAACTCTTCCTCTCCCTGGACTAGCAGGGAGGTCAGGCGCTTCTGTGACATTTGAGGGGACTTCAGCTGGGCATTTGGGGTCAGTCACGTGTCAGGGACAGGAAACGCCTCCATGGCAAGCACTGTGGTGTCCGGGACTCCGGGAATGGGCACCCCAAGTTCGTCTGAGCCTCCTGTATGACCTCAGGTGAGCCACATGACCACTTTGTGCCTCCGTTTCCTTATTTCTAAAATTCAGTGCGTTAAGCTGCGTGACCACCTAGCATGGTGTCTGGGACACATCAAAGGCTCAGCATTTGGGGGCTGTTAAGATGATGATGATGAAGATCACCTCTAGTTACCGAAGGTTGTGGGTTCAGCTGGCAGAGAAACACATGATTAGGAGCCACATGTTTGAGGCTGTAAGAAGAGCCACAATAAAGAAATTGAGGAGGTTCGTTGCATCTGGTGCTCCCGGTTCTCTGGTAAAACCCATCACCATTCGCTGGAACCTACTTTGGGGATTGCCGGTCAGAGTCATGTCTCTAAGAGATGAGGAAGCTGAGGCTTAGGAAGGGGACAGGCGTTTGCTCAAGGTCACGGGGCAAATTCCCAGCAGAGACAGGGCTGGAAGCCAGATCCCTCCTAATGGTAATGCTCTCTCCACTCACCCAGCAGGAAGTTGCCCCGGGCCAAGGCCCACAGTGACCTCTGTCCAGATGCTGCATCCCGGACGGGCCTCCCACCCCCTTCTCTGGAAGAGCGTGGGGAACACAGCCCGTTTTCTCGTCTCCCAAGCCAAGGGGAGCCAGGAAGACGAAGCCTTTGCTGGGAAATACCACACACGAGAGAGTGACTGCAGGGAGTGTGGACAAGTGGAAACAGCTGACTTGCCAGAAGTGGGGGGAAGAAGGTGGTATCATTTCTGTTTTTGTTGTTTTAATGTTGTTTGTACAATAAAAATGCAAAGAGAAAGAATATGCCATCATTCATTTGAAAGCCAAGAAGTTTGTTTAAAAATCTGTGCGTGGGATTCCTGGAGGTGTGTGTCTGCTCACATGGGGCCCGGCGGGCTGGCAATACCTCCCTCTGTTTCCTGAGATCACGGGGGAGGGGGAGGCAGAGCGCAGGCCAGCAAGTCACTGACCCCTCCGAGGAGCACATGTGAGCCCCACGGCTGCCAGGTGAGTCCAGGGTCGCTGCAAAGAGGACAGGGCTTTTTTGGGAGACGAACATTCAAGCCCTCAAACCTGACCTCCCACCATCTAAGAACAAAGGGCTAAAGAGTAGACACAGCTCTGCTTTCTTTTCCTTCGGAAGAAGGACATTAGGTGGAGGGAGAAAACAGAGAGGGAAGGCCGGGAGCGGGACCATGGACTGGATCACCTTTGTTTCCGGCTGGGCTACAAGGTGGAAAGGACCTGCTTGGAGGGACAAGTGCCAGAGAAAATGAAGAGGAAGCTGGCGCTCAGTGTTCTGCATTAGTCAGAAATCGTGACAATGTATTTGATGAGGTACTGGGTAGCTCAGGACGTGCCGGTTAGTAACTGAATGATGGCGGAGAGAAAATCCCAGACGATGTGCTGGAGGGTATCAGCATGGCCTTGGGCGGGTGATGGGACCAGGCCCCTGCCCCACCCCACCCTCAGCTGAGCTCCATGGGTACAGTCTAAGAGGCCTCAAAAGGGTCACTCACACCTCAGCATGACACTCAGATGGCCCCTCTCCTGGGGATTCTGTCCCCTCTCTCCACACCGCCTTGACACACAAAGCTTGTCTCGGGTGAAAGAAATTCCAGCGTTCACCCAGTGGGGCGCAGTGCTGAGGAAGTTTTTACTCCAAGCCAGGGATCTTTTGGTGCAACAGGCCCACGTCACCCGGGTGGTCGCCTCCCCTTCCCACAATGGCCCTTTTCAGAGAGCGAGAGAATGGGGAATATGAAAAGCCCAGGATGTGGGATCCAAAGACCAAGGTTTTCAGTCCAGCTCTGAGACCAGCAGTTCCCGAGCCTCAGTTTCCTCATCTGTGACATGGGAACAACAGTCCTGGCCTCCCAGAGGTTGTGACGAGAATGAACAGAGGGAGGAAGTGTGTCCATTGCCCATCACAGTGCTTGGTACACACCAGGGAGTAAAAAGTGGGGGCTGCCATCTTCACATGTTGGAAGAGGGACAAGGCTGAGCAGGAGACATGCTGTTTTCTCTGTCCACTTCACCACTTGATGTCACAAACTACACAAACAGGTATGTTGACACAGCCTGTCTGGCACAGCAGCTGAGCCTTCAGCATCTGGAATCACACTTTCTGGGTTCCAGTCTTGGCTATGCCACTATTTGCCGCCTGAGCTTTGGCAAGTGGCTTCATCTCTTTGAAAATCAGTAACCTCACCAGCAAAATTAACGAGGAAACTTACCTTGTGGATTGTTCTCAACACTGAGTGAGGTACACTGTTCATAAACAGCCTAGCATGAGGCCAGCAGGTACAAGACAATAAATGTTCACTGGAATTAAGAACTCTAGTTCAGGGGCAGAGCAGGGGGCTGGCCCTAGAGCCCTTTCCCTCCCTGTCCAGTGTCCTGGGTCCCCTACACTTGGGAGACCTGCTGCTGGACAGTCCAGGCACCCACAGCCTGGGCAAAACTCAAGGATATGATCTTCGATTTCTGATGCCATCTTGTCACAGTTGACTCCATAGACCTTGTAATCATCTAAAAGAGATTCCGAAACACGGGCATCAGCCAGACATGACCTTGGCAGTGAAGCCTGCTTGTGCCGGGGACTGTGGCATCCTGTGCTACTCCCACGGCCCTGAGAAAGACCACATCTCATGGGCCCTTGGGGAGCCTTCCCTCCCCCATCCCCGGCCCAGGCCCTCTCACCATCTGCCTTCAAGGCCGCCGAGAGCATCTCCACACACTTGTCCCGGACCGAGTCCCCTGTGAGATAGCAGGGTGCCAGGAGGCAGAGGGAGGGGGCAAAGGTGGGGCTCGAGGGGCTGCTGGGTGTCCTGGGGGAGGTCTCTGCTTTCGATCTGCTGCTGTTTGATCTGAGAATGACAATCCAAAATCGACATTCTGACATTAAGCAAGTAAAGCATTTACTGAGCAATGATCCCCTGTGACCCTCATAGCGGCCCTATGAGATAGGTACTATTTTAGGTGCTTGAGATGGATTATCTCATTTAACCCTCACAACCACCCCAAGAGGTTGACACTATTCTTGTCTCCATTTTAGAGTTGCATTTTAAAGTGCAACTCTATAGAGAGATGCATTTCGAGATGCATTTTAAATACAGGTCACACATGTGGAAACCAGGAGAGCCCACATTAAAGCCCAGGCAGGTGGACTCTGGGACCCACACTCTGCATCCCCCGCTGCTCGACTGGCTACAGAACAGTGAGACCACACCAACAACCACAGTCATTGGGCCCTGTGCGAGCTGCTCTGTCTCCCTCTCTGCTCTCACTGAGTCCTTCCTTCACTCATTCACTAAATATTTATTAGGAACCTGTTCTCAGGGACTGTGCTAAGAACAAGGGAGAAAGCAGACAAGTCAGAAAAGCTCCGCCCCCCACAAGGAGCTGACAGTCTAGAGAATTGTGACTGTGCCACCGTTGAAGAGGGCTGGCTTCTTCCACATGCCAGGCACTGTGCCAGGCACTGTGCCAGGCCCTGGAGGAGCCCTTTCCGATGTAACCATCCCGGCAGTCCTAGGAGGTAAGTCCTGTTACCAGCCCCATTTGCAGACGAGGAGGCAAACCTGGAGACTTACACCACTGAGGTTTGAACTCAGGCCTGTCTGATTCCAATCCTTACCATCTTAACTCCTATAATACACTGCCTAAGAATGGTGCCATTTTGGCTTTGGCTTACAAAGCCACAAATAAACATTCATACATATACATATATGGGCATATATGCACAGATGATTGTAAAGATAACTGTGTGTCTTAGTCTGCCTGAGTTGCCATGATAAACACTGGACTGGGGTGGGGGGCTTAAACAACTGAAATGAGTCCTGGCTGGTGTAGCTCAGTGGATTGAGCATGGGCCTGCAAACCAAAGGGTCACTGGTTTGATTCCCAGTCAGGGCACATGCCTGGGTTGCAAGCCAGGTCTCCAGCAAGGGGCGCACGAGGCAGCCACACATTGGTATTTCTCTTCCTCTCTTTCTCCCTCTAGTCCCCTCTCTCTAAAAATAAATAAATAAAATCTTTAAAAAAAACAACAACAGAAATGTGCTTCTCGCAGTTCCAGAGACGGGTCAGGTGTCGGTCAGTTTGGTCTCGCGTGAGGGCTCCCTTCCCGGCTCGCAGATGGCCACCCCCTCACCCTGTCCTCACGGGCAGGGGGAGAGTGATGGAGCGCTAAGGTGTCTCCTCCTCTGAGTCACTGACCCACTGCTCCTATTGGGTCAAGTGTCACCCGTGTGACCGCTTTTAACCGTAATTACCTTCATAAAGGACTTCATTCCAAATTCAGTCACATTGGGGCTTCAACATATGGATTTGGCTGAGGGAGGGGTCAATAACATTCATACCGTAACACCATATTAACAGCACTTATCTCTCTGAGGTGGCAATATAAGACATTTTCATTTTCTTCTTTTGCTTATACATATTTCCTAAGTCTTCTACAAAAAAACATATATCCTCTTTTGTAATGAGAAACCCTTTTTTCATGAGCAGTAACTGTGCTGCTGGCTCCAACAGGCTTCCTGTCTTCCTGCTGTCAAGGAGCTGTCGGCAGAAGATGGAAGGAACCCAGCTGTCCGCTGGTGGGTGAGTGGATAAACAAAATGTGGTATTTACCTGCTGTGGATGGCTACTCAGCCATGAAAAGTAATGAAATTCTGAAACATGCTACCGCATGGGTGACCTTTGAAGGTATTATGCTAAGTGAAATAAGCAAGATAGGAACAAGCCAATAGCGCATAATTCCATTTACATAAAGTACCTAGAAGTCAAATTCATAGGGACAGAAAGCAGAGCGGTGGTTGCCAGGGGCAGAGGGAGGGGGTTTGGGGAGTGAAGGTTTAGTGGGTACAGAGTTTCAGTTTGGGTGATGGGAGAGCTCGTAGATGCACGGGCAGTATCAAGGGGCTCCGGGTAGCTGGGGGCTTGAGGGTGAAGGAAGTGGAGAGAAGGGATTCAACCAAACTCTTGGGCTTGTTGAGGATGGTCACAACAAAAGCCACCATTCACTGCCTGTTGCTCTTTATTTCTCTCTGCAGGCCAGAGAGTCACCAGTTACCAGCCCCACTTTACAGCTAAGAGGACGGAGTGGTAGCCATACAGCTCCCTCCCTTTCAGAGCAGAGTCTGCACTACTCTGGGGAGGGGCAGGCAGGCAACGTGTCTCTGCGTTATTCTCTTGGCTCTCCAGAAACCTGTCAGGATCTTCGAGCCAGCCCTCACGCCTCCTAGGAGACACTGAGTCATCAGAGTTGAAGAAATTAAGGACCTCTCCTCCCTCCATCCAGGGTCTCCACACTGAACCCTTGGGGAAGGTCCCAAAGGATGGCTGTGTTTCCTACCTCCAGGGGGCGCCATTCACATGGTCACCTGGGTACCTCTTTGAGTTGCACAGTGCAAAGCTGGGGCAGCTGCACCAGGCAGCCCTGGAGCTGTGGATGCACGCACTTCTTCCCTGTAGGAAGATGATGCTGAGCTTCTGAAAAGTCAGACCCAAGGACCTGTGTCTGACAGTGAGGCTGACTGAGCAGCTCAGGCTTCCCTGTGTTAGAAATCTGGGATTACAAGAAAATCCCACCCAACATTCCGTGGAGCGCTTTTCACTGTGAATTCTACCAGTGACCTTTTCATCTCCCAGCCCTTGCTGTTTGGCCTGACCTTGGCTCCCCTCTGTCACTACAGATGCCCTTGGGCCACAGGGACTGATGTGTCCTCTGGAGCCTTGAGGTCCCTCCAAGGTGTCTCTTTGCTGGCCCAGGAGTGGGGTAGGCTGGGGAGGGAAGGTTCTGCTCTTAAAAGGTTTACATTTCGAATTCCCAAAAATTTTCTCCAAAGGGATTTCTAGCTTTTCTTTCCATCTATCTATCTATCTATCTATCTATCTATCTATCTATCTGCTGTTTGAACCTTACTGTTCTAAGACTAAATTATCCTGGACTCTACCCAACCCCGCCTGACAACTGGGTGTCCTGGCAGCGGGGCACAGGGATGGGGGAGCTGTGATCCGACCAGCTCTTCCCTGGAGTCAGATTTCAGTAGGAGAGGAAGGTGTGGGTGAGGGAAGGCTGGGAAGGGCATAAACCGGAGAGTCCAGGGGCTGCCTGCAGCCAGCGACTCTCCCTGCACCCCACCCTGGTCCCAGCCACTGGGCTCTCCCCTGCACAGCCACAAGAGTCCTGAAACTGGTCTCCCTGCATCCTCTTGCCTCCCTTACAATCTACTTGCCACACAACAGCTTGGCAGGGGTGAGAGGGCTTTCAAAAACTCCCACCTAGTCCCAGTATTCCCCTGCTTCTGACATTCTAACAGCTTGCACTTATTTTCGGCATAAAGTCAAATTCCTCACCCAGGCTCCCCAGCCCCTTCACATCTGGCCCCTGCCTGCCTTTGACATGATCTCCTGCCACTCCCCCCTCACTGTTTACTGAGGCCTCACCGCCCTCCTGCTTTCTGTTCCCTGAGCACACCTGTCCCCCCACCACAGTGCCTTTGCACAGCTGGCACCTCTTCCCAGAAAGCTCTTCCTCCTCCAGATCTTCCTACGACTGGTTCTTTCCCACAAGTCAGACCCAAATACCACCTCTGCAGTGAGGCCTTCCCTGGCCATGCCAGCCAAGCAGACTGCCCTGTAACTCTCTAGCACATGACCTAATTTCTTGCATTCACGGCACTTAACCAAGTCTATAATTAACTTGTTTATGTGTTTGTAAACATTGCCTCCGCTGCAGATTACAGGTTCCACGGTATAGGGACCCCACTGGCTGGTTCACCACTGCCTTCCAGCAGCTGTAACAGTGCTCTTGGTGGTTACTCGATGAACCTTTGCTGATGACTGAATACAGAATGGGCTGAGGGGGCTGGCCACAGAGAGGTGCAAGGGACACCCCAGGGGTCTAGCCAGAGATGAGCTAGGTCAGGGACAGGTCCTCTTTGGAAGGCCAGTGACTTAAGAGAAGGATCTCTCTCGGAGCCGGTGTCTGTCACCTCCCACAGGCTAAGCCAGCTCATCTCCTGCAACTGTGATGGAGATGCAGATTCTTCCTGGGGCTAACCCCTCGCTGTCCTGCGGGGCCCACACCACATCCTCAGTGTCTGGGAGTCAGCAGTGGGGAACCACCAGGGGGAGCCCGAGGGTGCTGCTTGACGAAGGCATAATAGCAAACAATAGTAACCTGTCATTTAAGAAATGCCTACAATCGGTGGTATATTTATTCAGAACACAGGCTCCAAAGCCAAGTTCTCAGGTTCAAGGCCTAACACCACCACGTTGTAGCTACGTGGCCTAGAGTGAATACCTTCCCTTCCAGGTGCCTCAGTTTTCTCACATGGCAGGTGGGGATAACAATAGTACCCATCATAAACAGTTGTTAAGAGAATTAAAGCATCTACGAGAATTCTAGAAATGAACCACTAGGCCATTTATACAGGTTGCTGCATTAAGTGTGCGTACTATTACCTACTGAGCACCTGCATGGGTTGGGAACAGCGCTAAACATTTCATTACCTCATTTGACCCTCACCGTAACCTCGAAAGGTGGTCATAATTATCCCCATTTTAAAGGTCAATGGACTGAGACTCAGAGGGCTGAACTAACTTGTCCAAGGTCATCCAACTAGCAAATGGAAGCATCAGACTGCAAATCTAAGTCTGCCTATCTTCCTAATTCTTTTCAACACATCTCGCTGTGGCTCTAAAAGGCAGAGTTTTCCAGAGTTCCCTTACCTGGGCGAGGCTGGGCTGCTTGTTGTGTTTTCTCCCATCTTTCTGGCAGGCACCCCCGGGCCCCCAGAGCCCCTTTTTGGCTAGGAGCTGACTGGTAGGCTGGAATTTGTTTCTAAATGGCATTCCAGGCAGCCACGCTCATTTTGCTTTCAACGCAGAGAACTGGGAACTGAGTCAAATTGCAGAAAGGGCATCACTGATGGGGTAGAGGCGGAGGGTTGGATTGATCACTGCTTCCCTCTGCTTCCCGCCTGTGTCCGCGTCAGCACCAGCCTGTGTTCTGTCTGATACCACTAAGCGCTTAGAAAATCTTCCGGCCCCAGGTCAGAGCAGAGGCACCAGGAGGCCTGGCTTGCTACTCGTGCGCGCCACCTCGAGGGCACTTCGGTTACTGCACCGCCAAGCACCTGTAGGGCTCAATTGCCTTCCATGGCTGGCTTGGTCCCACTGCCCTGAAAAAGGGCAACCTTCTTCCCGGACACAGTAGTGCCCTACGTGGTCTGTACCCTGGTACTCCAGATACAGTTCCCAGAGTGCCATGCTCACTCATACTGCCACACCTTTGCATGGGCCGCTCCCTCTGCCTGGGGCGCCCTCTCTTAGCCTGTCTGCTGGGCAAACTCCTATTCATTCGTCTGTCAGTCTTCAGCACTCTCTCTTCCATGAAGTCTCTTTGACTTCTCAAATCCTAATGAAACACTCTTCCGACGTTCCCACTCTTTGTTATATCTCCAAACACCAAGTATCTTGGTGTCTGCCTCTACACTGGTGATTAGCTCTGTGAAGACAGAAATGAAGAGTTTGAACCTTGGCCTGGCCGGAGAGGTTGCAAACGGGAGGGCTACAAATATGTTGTGTTCGCCTTACTGTGTCTTAGAAAAAGGTGAGTATGCTGCCAACGTTTAAAGTTGGGAGCCTCATCTAAAAATCTAGGAGTCCAGTTTCCCCTAAAGAACAGGAAGACATGGCACTCGGGGCCTGCACTTCCACAAAGCAACAACTGTCTGGGGATAGCTAGTGGGCGCCCCCTACCGGCAGGCACCCTACTCTCCGTTTTTCCATGGTCCCCAAAAGTCACCCACACGGTGTGCACATGCTCTTGACCCCTGGGGAGGTTGTTTGCAAAGAATGTGTACACCAGATAGGTGGATGGGTGGATGGGTGGATGGGTGGATGGGTGGATGGGTGGATGGGTGGATGGGTGGATGGGAGAGAAAGAGGAGCTGGAGAGGCAGAGAGCACAGGAAACAGTCTGGGTGGTGGATAAGGTGAATTTACAAGACCTGCTTGGGGTTGCCCATCCCCCATACTGAACCAGCAGAAAATGGCACAGCTGTCTGTCAGATGTATTCTGTTTGACCTTCAGAAGAAGAGTGCAGTATGGGAGGGAGCCAGGAGACTTTGAGGCCCCAGGCAAAAGCAGGAGAGGAGTCTGAAGGTACAAATCCTTCCACAAATGCTGAATGTTTACATAATAGCATCAAACTCAGAACGGGATTAGAGCTAAGTGTTTTGTTTTGGGATAGGACAATCCTGCACTATACAGCGCTGCCCTTCATGCCTCAAGATGTTTAGCATCGATGAGCCCTGCCTCCTAGATGCTGGAGTGCTCCTCCCCCACTCCCACTACAGACAGAATGTTTGTGTTCCCCCAAATTCATAAGTTGAAGCCCTCACCACCAATGGGACAGTATTTGGAAGTGAAGCCTTCAAGAGATAATCAGGTTTAGGTGAGGCTGGGCCCCGTGATGGGGTTATAGTTCTCCAATCAGGTGCAGACAGAGCAAGAAGCAAGAAGGTGGCCACCTGCAACCAGGAACTGAATCAGCTGGCACTTTGAGAAATAAATGCCTGTTGTTTAGGCCACACAGTCCATGCTATTTTGTTATAGCAGCACGAGCTAAGACACCCCTCCCCCAAGGTCACGGACAACAAAAAATGCTTCCACAAATTTCTGAACAACACTCTGTTGAGAACCACTGGTTTAGGGCCAGGATGGCAGTGGGGTCTCCAAGGCCTTGCTCATGGCAGACGTTGCTAACGGACCACAGAAGTCTCTTCTCCAGAGGCAGGGCACAGCCTCCATCCCTCTCCAAGCAGCGCTCTGAGAGCCTCCACTACCTGCTGAAGCTGGCACTCAGCAGCCAGTGGGACTCGGGCAATACAGTGGCCCCATTGACATCTCGGACCAGTTTAATCCCCATGAAGCCTTAAACAACCTAATTTTTGTGCCTCTTCTTTTCTTTCCAGTGGTGGTTTTACTGGTATCATGAAGCCTGGAACAGCTGTGTACTAGCATCTTCCACTCACATTGGCCTAGAAGTCAACCTTACCATCCCACCTGTTTGTCCCAGCATCCAATATCGCCCTGGACCCTCGTCATTTGCCTCCATCCACCTCCAAGCCAAGTCCTGCCCTGACCTGCTCTGTTCCCTCTTGGCCCTGCTTCCCCTGCTCTGACCTCTGACCTCCCTCCTGGACTACAGTTCGCACTTGCTCTTTTACCCACATTCTCTCTGCAGTGATCTCATCCAGCTTGAAATTCCAGCTACAAGCTAATGACTCTGAAATGTATGTTTCCAGCCCAGACTTGCTTCCTGAATTCCAGCCTGGTATAACCTAACTGCTCATTCAACTTCTGCACCTAAATGACGAGCACACCCCTGAAATCCAACATATCCACACCGGAACTCTGGATCTCCTGCCGCAGCCAGCCTGGGTTCCACAGCCCTGCCCCACCTGTGCCCGGCGGCGCCGTCCTTGCAGATAGATGCCCACGTGAAAACTCCTGGAGTCATCCTGACTCTTCTCCTCTTGTTGCCCACGTGCAGTCTGTCAGGAAATCTAGTCAGCTCTGCTTTCAACATGCGTCTGGAGTGGAGTCCACTGCTTCTCCCCACCTGCTGCCACCCCGAGCCACCGTCACATCTTGCCTGACTTATCGCAATAGTCTCCTGGTCTCTCTGCTTCCTCCTCCACAATCCTTTCTCAGCACAGCAGCCAGAGGGATCCTGATACGTTTGATCATACAATTTACAGGCTTAACGCCCTGCAGTGCTCCTGCTTCACTCAGTTCTCCGACTCTGCCCCTCACTTATTCGCTTCGGCCCCACTGGCCACCTCACTGGTCCTTAGGTTTGGAATGACCCCACTATCTGCATGGCACTTGAAGCTTTTGCTCAAAGGTCATGTCCTCAGTCCTGGCTGGTGTAGCTCAGTGGATTGAGCACCAGTCTCCAAACCAAAGGGTTGCTGGTTCAATTCCCAGGCAGGGCACATATCCTGGGTCGCCAGCCAGGTCCCCAGTAGGGGGTGCACTAGAGGCAACCACACATTGATGTTTCCCTCCTTCTCTTCCCCTCACTCTAAAAATGAATAAATAAAATCTTTAAGAAAAAGAAGTCACATCCTCGGCGAGGGCTCTTCTGACCTCCCCAATGACCGTTTCCCCCCCAGGTCCCCTCAGCCTGCTCTGTCACTTTCCTTAGTGCTTGTCGCCTTCTCAACTGGTGCCCGACTCACTACATGTATTGCTACCGCCCCTATTAGAATATAGGCCCCACGACTGCGGCGATTTTGGTTTCTTTTGTTCACTGCTGTATCCTTGGTACCCAAAATGGTTCCCAGCACATAGGAGACCCTCAATAAATATTTGATGAATGAATGAATGACTTGATTAGGATATCAACTCTGAGGTAGATATCTTAACCAGTTCGGCCCGAACCAGAGGCCCCACCCCAGGTACAGGCTCTCAAGGCTTCTGTCCTCACAGGGTTCAGGTTGACCTTGAGAATGTTGCCAAGACAGGGATGGGGCAACAGTGATGGGTCAGCCACCCCAGTGAGGGAGCCGCACCTCTGATTTGGGGGCCCCCTTAGTCTTAAAAAAATATTTATTTATTTATTTCAATTACAGTTTGCATTCAATATTATTTTGTATTAGTTTCAGGTGGACAGCTTAGTGGTTAGACAATGATGTACTTTACAGAGTGCCCCCCCCCGGGTGGGATATTTCCAGTACCCACCTGGCACCATACGTAGGTATTACAATATTACTGACTCTATTCCCCATGCGGTACTTTACATCTCTATGGCTATTCTGTCCCTGCTGATCTGTACTTCTTAATCTCTTCACCTTTTTCACCGAGGCCCCCAACCTCTCTCCCTTCCATCTTGGTCTTACTGTGTGGATTCTAGATTTTGGAGGCAACGTAACATACAAAGTTGCCTCCTTCCCCAGCCTCAGGCGTTGCACATTAAAGCACAGAGAGGGACACGGGTTGAACAGAACCTCTGGGGCAGAGAAGTCCGTGGCTCTCCCTACCTTTCCATCGATGGTCTCTTTGGAGAGGAGGTGGCTGAAGACTTGGAATCCACAGAGTCTCTCCTGAAAGAAGAGAAATCGAAGATGAGATTCTCCTAGGCGTTAGCATCGGTACTGATGCAGAGAGGTCAGAGGCCAGGGAGAAGCATGCTGAAGCCAGGCCTGCTGGGCCGAGGACGATAGAGCCTCCCTTGGACCACTGCCGCCCGGGAGAGGAAGCTGCAGGCGGTGCTGGCGGGTCACCTTCGCCTGCCCTTCATCAGATGAAGCAACCAGTGCAAGGGAAGGAAACCGAGTATGTGCCAGATGTGATGCATGTGCTATGTCACTAATTGCACGACTTCCACTAATTATGAAAAGCTAAGTCTCAGCAGCCCCCTCTCCTCCTTGCTGTCAGGCAGGCCTTGGCTGGCTGGAGTCCACAGAGACTGGAATTGCTAGGATTGCCTGTTCTCGAGAGGAACTGGACACCATCTCCGGCCTCTCTTGCCGGCCCCTCAGGAGGAGGAGAGGAGAAGCTCTTGGGCCTTGGCGATTGAAGAGCGGCGTTAAAACGACAGGTGAAGAAGCAGGATGCCAAATTAGATGTGTTCTGTGCCTAAAGTCTTGCAAGAAAACACCTGGCAAGACAGACCATCGAAAGACCACCCACCCAAATGCTAACCAGGGTTACATCAGGAAGATGGGGCGAGAGGTGAAGTTTTCCCCCATTTTCCAAAATGCCAGTAGCTACATTCTTTTTTGATATAGGATGTGTTTTTCTCCTTTATTGATTTTATAAAATTAATGTGTGTAAGCGCACCCCCCAGTCCCTAGCTCACCCAGCTCTCCTAGTCCCAGCGCAGCTGTCAGCTGTTGGACGGACTATGATTTTCTTACCTATTATATGCACGGGCCGGGCCCCTGCCACGTAAATCTCACAGGAGCAGAGTTCAGGGGGTTCTGTTCACTGTGGTGGACACAGTGCCTGCTGAGCCCATGTCCCCTAGGGCGCTCACTCCCCCAGTGCATGGGACACAGGGACCTCCCCCTGCCAGCTCCCCTGGGCGCCGTCTGCCTGAGGACCTTCTCCGCTCCAGTCAGCACCAACGACGGGCCAGTGGGCCGGAAGTGCTGGGTGGGTCTGTACCCCACCTTCCTCGGCCCTCCCGTGGGCCACCCCCCAGTGTGTCCTCCACTACCACACAGTGTTCCGAACAGGATTTAAGCCCTGGTCGCCCACGGCAGTCCCCTGCTCACTAACACACCCTGGGTTGGCTTCTTCCCTTTCTCTGCCTCCCTTCTTCTTTTTTTAAAAAATATATATTTAAAAGATTTTATCTGTTTATCTTTAGAGGGGAAGGGAAGGAGAGAGGGAGAGAAATATCAATGTATGGTTGCCTCTGGTGCATCCCCTGCTGGGAACTGGCCTGCAACCCAGGCATGTGCCCTGACTGGGAACCGAGCCGAGATCCTTGGGTTTACAGGCCCGCGCTCAATCCACTGAGCTACACCAGCCAGGGCTCTGCCTTCCTTCTTCACTCCTCTACCTGCACTTCCTGAAATCACTTCCCAGAGAAACCCCTGAGCTGGGATGCAAGTCTCAGGGTCTGGTTCTGCAGAGCACAGTCTGATACATTCACTGACTTATCCCCAGCAAATAGACTAGTGCCTGGCAAAGAGCAGGCGCTCTGTAAATATCTGTTGCCGAATGCTAGTAAGTCAGACAGTACAGAAATGCAAACACTATAAAGGGGGAAGACAAACCTCCCCACAGGGAACGACTACTATGTTTAATGTCTTCCCTTCCAGACCTTTTTCTACCTGCAAACATTCAGCACATAACATTCATCACTGCACAGAGAGAGCCGATGACAGGAGTTGTAGTCCCCGTTCTGCCCCTGGGACAGGTCATTTGCTCTGAGCATCGGGCTCCCTCACCTGTCAATGAGAAGAAAAGAACCTCTGTCTTGGGCTATCTGGGAGGAAGACACTGGGTCATTCATGTCCCCACAGCAGTTCCCAGCACGGGACAGGCCTGCTGCTCCACAGTCCCAGGCACCTGGTTTCTTGTTTTCCAGATTGTGCAGCATTTCTGCATGGATTTCCAGCTCCCACCTCATCCTCCAGATGGTCTGGGAGACAGTGGGCAAGGTAGGTTCAGGGGCAAGCCTCACCCTGTGGACCAGCGCCATCCGCCCTGCACCTTCTCTCCAGCGTGAAGACGGGGGAGGCAGCAGGAAGGGCGAGGGGAAGTTTCACCCCCTTCACATGCCCGTCCGTTCCCACATCAGCCCTGGAGCTGCTCTGCGGGGCTCCTCCCTGAGTGCCCCCCGAGGATGGACGGTGCAGACCAGAGTGAGCAGCCGGAATCTCGCAGGCAGAGAAGGGAGAGGAGACACGAGCCTTTACCCTGCAGCCTCACCATTTTCAGGCCCTTCCTCGTTGCTTTTCTTTTTAGAACAAACCAGAAATATTCTGCAGTTATTGCAAATGATCATTGTGAAAACTATTCAGGAAGATGAAAAAATGCCTGCAATACAATAGGAAGATAAGTTCAGGAGAACAGAGTAGTTTGTACACTCCACCTACAGGGATGGAAAAATTATTATATGTGTGAGTAGCTCAGGGCTGGGAGAAAAGAGGAAAAGAAACTGCTTCATTTGTTGGTGGTGGCTCACTGTGGGCAAAGATTTTGAATCCTTATTTTAATTGCACCAATGTGGTTACGGTGTTTCTATAATAAATAATGATGATCAATTATCATCAAGAAAACTAAAAAGGAAGGCAGTTCACCAATGTAGCTGAAAGAGGACCCTTGCCAACTGGGTGCACCCAGCAAGGTGGGGAGACAACCAGCCCAGGGTCTGCTCAGCCGCAGTGACAGCTGGGAACCCCGGCGCCCTGGCTGTGATGGGGAAACTGAGTCAACAGTTCCACTGCTCGTGAAACGTTCCTAACGTGGTCAGGTGTCAAATGCTGGTTACCAAACCATAGGTAGAGTGTGATCCAGTTTTATTAGGAAAATACAAATGTACATTTAGATGTTCTTAAAAAATGAGAAAGGTATACATCAAAATGTTAATACTAAGCCCTGGCTGGTATAGCTTAGCGGGTTGAACGTGGGCTTGCGAGCCAAATGATCGCTGTTTGATTCCCAGTCAGGTCAGGGCACATGCCTGGGTCGCAGGCCAGTTCCCAGCAGGGGACACATGAGAGGCAACCATACATTGATATTTCTCTCCCTTTCTCCTTCCCTTCCCCTCTACAGATAAATAAATAAAATCTTTTAAAAAATGTTAACAGTAATAGTATTCTTTTCCTATATTTGCTTTTCTAAACGTTTTATACTACACATGATTTACCGTTGAAATAAATAAATGTGGAAAGGTTACAAAATACTATATAGAGCATAATTCCATTTTACTAATACAATAAGTATTTTATGGGTGGTGATCATAGCTAAAAAGTCTAGAAGAGAGACTTCCGCCAAGATGGAGGCATAGGTGGATGTGCCGTGCCTTCTCACACAACCAAGTTTAGAGACAACTAAATATTAGCAACAGAAAACACAGCCAGAACACGGAAAACTGAACTTTTCGGAAGTCCGTTAACAACAAATTCTTCAGCCTGACCGGTAAGGGGCGAGGCCAGCAGCTGGTGAAGCAGGATTGCACAGGAAAACTCGGTCAGACGGACTCAGGCGCACAGAATCCAGGCGCAGGGTTGGACCTAGTGAGCGACCGAGCGAGTGACCAAGGGAGCGACCGCGGGGAAACAGCCAGGGAGCAGGGCTGCGGGTTGACCGTGGTTGCGCATATGTGCGTGGATAGACAAGCGAGGGAGTGGGCGATTGGACCGGGACCCAGCGGGTCCCCGAGGCGAGTGGCAGGGAGGGTGCCACCATTTCCCTGCTCTGACCCCACCTCCACATACAGCGTCATAACCCAGCGACTCTGAGTTGCCCGGCCCTGGTGAACCACCTAAGCCTCTGCTCCTCACCCAGCGGCACGAAACTGCAGAGGGGGCCGCCATTTCCCCACTCTGACCACGCCCCCACATACAGCGTCACAACCCAGCGACCTGGTAGTCCAAAGCTCCACTCCTCACACTTAAAGGGCGCGAACAGACCAAAAATGGCTCAAGAAGATCCCAAAGCCCCAGAGCCTATAAATCTAAGCGATGAAGAAATAGCAAAACTCTCAGACGCACAGTTTAAAATACTGGTGATCAGGATCCTCACAGAACTGGTTGATTATAGCCACAAATTAGACAAATATATGAAGGCGAAACTAATTGAAATGAATGGAATTGCACAGGACACCAATAGCAATGAAAAGGAAACTGGGACTCAAATCAATGGAGTGGACCAGAAGAAAGCAAATAATGGCCAAACAGAAAAAAGTCAAGAAGCAAGAATTCAAAGAAATGAGGAGAGTCTTAGGAACCTCCAGGACATCTTTAAACGCGCCAACATCTGAATTATAGGGGTACCAGAAGGGGGAAAGGCACAGCCACCAGTGGAAAACTTATTTGAACAAATAATAAAGGAGAATTTCCCCAATCTGGCAAAGGAAATAGACTTCCAGGAAATCCAGGAAGCTCAGAGAGTCCCAAAGAAGTTGGACCCAAGAAGGAACACACCAAGGCACATCATAATTACATTAGCCAAAATTAAAATGAAGGAGAGAATCCTAGAAGCAGCAAGAGCTAAGGGGACAGTCACCTACAAAGGAGTCCCCATCAGACTGTCAGCTGATTTCTCAAAAGAGACCTTACAGGCAAGAAGGGGCTGGAAAGAGGTATTCCAAGTCATGAAATCCAAAGACCTACAACCAAGATTGCTCTATCCAGCAAAACTTTCATTTAGAATGGAAGGACAGATAAGGTGCTTCTCAGATAAGATCAAATTCAAGGAGTTCATCATCACCAAGCCCTTATTACATGAAATGTTAAAGGGACTTATCGAAGAAAAAGAAGTTAAAGAAACATGAATGGTGAAAGGACAACAAACTCACAGTTATTAACAACCACACCTAAAACAAAAGCAAACTAAAAGGACAGCTAGATCAGGAGTGGAAACATAGAAATGAAGATCACATGGAAGGTTAGCAACAGAGGAGTGGGAGGAGGAGAAGGGGGGAGAAGGTACAGAGAATAAGTAGCATAGACAGTAGATAGAAAATAGATGGGGGGCAAGAATAGCGTGGGAAATACAGAATGTAAAGAACTTGAGACACATGGACATAAACTAAAGGGGGGGTAATGGTGGGGACAGGGGGGTAGGGTGGAGGGGAATGAAGGGGGGAATAGAACAACTGTAACAGCATAATCAATTAAAAAATTTTAAAAAGTCTAGAAGAATATGTATATGATTATAAATACTACATGTGTATTTTATACATTAGTATATGTACATGACTATATATACATATATGTGTGTTTCTCTCTGTATAATGAATGATTTTTAACTTTCCTATTTATATTTAAAACTAAAATATTTTTAAAACTTTCTAGAATGAGCAAATCATTACCTATATAATACAATAAATATAATACAAAATAGTTAAAACAATACATGTGATTAAAATATATTCCAAATAAAACATTTTATTCTGAAGAAGAAAGAACCGAGATAACAGTGCCCACTTTTCAGGCCACGATACAGAGTCTCAGAGACTTTAGGGTGTGAGTACGTGATCGAGTTAAGGCCAGAGTCTGGCTTTCTGCTTTCCAGCCTTCTCCTCGACCATATCTGTTGTCCTTTTATAGGCCTTTCAAAGAACCCCCTGTATGGATCACTCAGTGGGGTTCAGAGATGGAGCAAAAGGAACCGCGTGGGTTAGTGCTGCCACCTCTACCACGACGTCCGCGGCCCTATTCTGCAGCCCTTCGCTCCCATCTCACTTGGCCTTCTCTCCCAACAGTCCAGCCTCCGGTCTTCCAACTTCATCCCACAGAACCGTCCCCCCCACCGCCCCAGGTCCTTCCTTTGTCACCGCGCCCAGAACCACACGGGAGGCCCAGATGGGGCGGGACCAGCCAGAGCACGACTGTCCACAGGGGGCTGCACGGGTGCAGCCGGCCCAGCAGTTTTCAGTAAACAACACTCTGTGTTGGGCCCCGAGGGTCAGAGGGTCTTGCCAGCCACCCTGCCGACCGCTCGGGGAAAATGAAACACACCGCCTGAAAAGTTAAATGCCAACTGGGACTTCCCCGAGTGGGACACATCCGGGAAATGAACAAGGAAAGGAAGAGAACACAGAAATGGGTACAGAACCACGTGACCAGTAGCGGCATTTTAAAAAGCAGGCTCTAAAGTGAATGGTAACTGCAGAAAACAAGTCCGAGAGAAGAAGAAATCATACACCAAAACACTGAGTGATCCCCTGCGGGTGGAGGGAGTGCGAAGGATTTCCCCCCCATTTTTCATTATTTCTACAACAAATTGTCATCACTCTTGTTCATTTTTTTAAGTGCTATTATATGTTCTGATTTCAAAAGCAATACAGGATCGTTGTGGAAAAAATAACAATATGAATATAAATTTTGTTGTATAATATAGAATAGGAGGCTCTTAATTATAATCCCATATATTTTTGTTAAAAAAGTATCTTTGCCCTGGCTGGTGTGGCTCAGCAGATGGACTGTCAGCCTGTGAACTGAAGGTTTATCTGTTCCATCCCGGGTCACGGCACGTGTCTGGGTTACAGACCAGGTCCCCGGTTGGGGGCGTGGGAGAGGCAACCGATAGATGTTTCTCTTACACACAGATGTTTCTCTCCCTCTCTTTCTCCCTTCCCCGCTCCCTCAAAATAAATAAATACAATCTTTAAGGAAAAGAGGGTTTAGAGAAAAAAATGTGTCGGAAACGCCAGCCAAAAAATGTTACGCACAACACATACATCTTTATGTTTAATCGGATTAATGTCTTAGCGTAACTTCCTTATTGTGGACACACTGGGTGAAACGGCAGGGATATGCCTTTTCTATGCCAGAAAAAATTACCTGTCTTTGGGCTCCTCCCCTTGCTTCTTCCTTGGCGGAGAAAGGCCTGCCCCTGGCTTCCAACTGGAACAGGCGAGTTCTTTTTCTTTCTTCTTGGCCTTTTCTCTTTCCTCTCCTTTTCCTCCTTTGGGGGACCCAGGGGACTCTGAAGATGAAAGGGTGGCGGTACTGCTCACCATGCCTAGCCCCGTTGAACCCAGTGCGGCTTGGCGGGGGGCAAAGGGCAGGGATGGGGCAGCTGCACACTGCCCCAACACATACACACACTTGTACACAGGTGCGTATACAATATGCACATACGTGAGCAAATCCACACTCACACGTGGGGGCAGGAAGGCACGCGCACACACACCTATGCACATGTTCACACAAATATGTATATACAGATGTACAAATACACGAGCCAACACAAATGCACACACAGACACGTGTACGTGAAAACTCGCAGATCTACAAATCCTGCCCTTGAGCAGACAAACACTGACACTCCCCACTGGAGGCCACCTGTCATTTATTAAGTCAGTCAACAAACACACGCTGAGTGCCTGCTATGAGCCAGGCACAGTCCTGTCCCAGGTGCTGGGGAAAAAACACAGTCCGAGTCAACCTCGCCCCTCCTTACCCAGCAGCCGCTTCCATTTTCTGATGAGGACTTTGGCCAAGGACACTGCCTCCTTGTCTGAGCAGTGCTTCCGGACCCCGTTCACAGCGACTCCGATCCGGGTTGTCTGCCCAGCGAGAAGGTGAGAGGCTGGTCTGAGAAGGGACTCGCGGGACTGGCTGCCGTAACTGGCAAGACCTGACCTGGCTCATCCACCTCCTTCCCCTAGCCTCAGTTTCCCCAGAGCCCCAGGCCCGACCTGTGGCTGAGATAGTAACCGTGATCCTGTAACTGAGGCCCTGACCTGCCATCCCTAGTGAGGGCTAGTGCCCTGCACTGTGGGTGATGGCGGCTCTGATGGACAGCTGAGGTCGTGGGACTGGCTGAGGGTGAGGGATGAGGGATGAGGACTCCCCCCATCCCCGGTCCCCTGGTGTGCTGGAGGTGTATCTTTGAGCCCGGTTGCAGCTTAAGACACAGATCTGGCTACTAAAGCTTGGGTTTGTGCTAATTTGGGGGACCAAGAGTGTTTGGCAATGTTTGGGGGCTCTGGGGGCAACACAGGGCAGACTGAAAAGTGGGGGACTTTTCCCTGGATCATTGGCCTCTTGGATCCCACAAGCCCAGGACCTTGGGAATAGTGATTTTCAAGGAAAGTACATTAGTCTTCCTCCCAGACCCAGAAGGCCCCTGTGCTTGGAAGGTCCCCTGTCCCCATCTAAATGACCCAGTCCTCACCCTCAGAGCACTTCAAGGTCCCCCAGCCCTCTGCTCAAAAATTCCCCCCAGACTCCACTCTTGGAGGTCTTCCCTGTGTCAGGTCCCGCCCCCCAGCCAACACTGTCCCCAGAGCTGTCCATCCCCACCCCACCTGGAGTAGCTGGATGGACATCTGACAGCTGTTCAGCTTCTTCAGGAGGTCGAGGGCCCCTTCCTGTGGGAGGCCACAAGGTGAGAACTGAGGGCCGTGGGTTGTGCCCCAGGTCCCTCTCTGATCATCACGTGGTCTTCTTAGTAGGAAAGAGGAGGGGCGGAAGCAGGAAGGAGACTTCCAGGAAACGGGCAGACACATGATTGAAGGGCAGGCCAGGGACAGTGGGAAGGAGAGAGAAGAAAAAGATTCTGCCCCAGATCATTGCTCCCCTTCATCCCCATTAGCCAGGCCGGGCCCAAGCCGCTCCGTGCCGGGCTTGGGCCCTAACCACTCACCCCGCCCCCCAACTGTTGGTTCCTTTCCACTGGGTATGCTCTCCCTTTCCCCGTCTCTCCCTCCAAAGGTTAGTATATATATAGGTTAGTATATAGCAATATATAAAGGTTAGTATATAGCAATATACTTTACAGCTTAGTATATTGCTTTTATGTCTGTATCCTCCTCATCTCCTCACTTTCCAACTGGGAGCTTAAGCAGGGTGAGAAGTGTGGCCTTTTTTTTTACAGCTTTATTGAGGTGTAATTGACATGCAATAAACTGAACATATTTCAGGCTACGATTTGATGAGTTTTGGCATATGTATACACTCATAAAACAGTCAAGATAAGAACACAGCAATCACCCCCAAAGTTTCCTAGTTCTACTTGGTAATCCATTCCTCCCTTCACCACCGATCCCATGCCCCCGCCACCACTTTTTGTCATGATAGATAGGCTTGCTTGCACTTTAAGGACTGCATGCCAAAAGTACTGTGATAAACTCCCTTTGGTCTGGCTTCTTTCACTCTGCGTAATTATTTTGAGACTCATCCACGTTGCTGTGTATACCGACAGCTCCTTTTCACAGCTGAGTTGTTTTCCACTGTTTGTACATAACACAGCTTATATGTGAATTTCCACCTGTTGGTGGACTTTCTCACCTGTGGATGGACTTTCTCTGGTCTCCAGTTTGGGGCTACTACAAATAAGGCTGCAAGGGACATTCACATACAAGTCTTTGTGTGGACATTCACTTTCATTCCTCTTGGGTGAAGGGGACTGTTTTAATCTCTGAGAACTCAGGGCTCAGCACATGCCTCCCTGAGTGAATGAATCAAATGGAAGGCAGAGGGCGGGAGAGGAGATTGGGAGGGGAGACTCAGATCGGGAAACCTGCTGGCTGTCTCTGACCCATTTCTGCTTTCTCCTTCCTCTCACCAGCTTCCTAGTTCCTTAGAAACCAGCCCCAGCCTCCTGTCCAGCGTGGGGTTCCCTGGGGCGCACCAGCTGACTGAGCGCTGTACGCCCCTGCCAGGCTTCCTGGGCCGAGTCCCAAGGGCTGCCTGTCCTCAGCCTCCCTCAGAGCCTGGGTTCACGGGATGTTTTCAGAGGTGCGACCTGTGGGTTTGTGTGCGCATGTAAACTTGTGGGCATATACCTCTGTGTGTAACATGAATTAAAGCCTTATGATGTGCTGGATACTCTTGTTAAGTATTTTATGTGCATTGTCTCCTTTAACTCTTACGATGACCTTATAAGGTAGTGATCTCACTATCCCCATTTTTATAGATGTTCCCACTTTCACAGAAGAGAAATCAAAGAAGCTGGGAGGTTAAATAATTTGCTCAAAGTTATAAGGAACAGAGCTAGGATTCAAACTCAGGCATTTCGGGCTTGAACCACGGCACAAGCACGCGGGTATGGGCGTCGACCAGTCCAGATCTACGCACTCGTGGCCCGGCAGTGCGGGCGAGCGCGGTGGCGTGCTGGCCAAGGTCAGCACCCGGTTCTCAAGGGAAAGGAAAATCTGATTTGTACTGTTTGCCGATTGCTGCTGTGAATACCGCCCCCAGGGCCAATTTTAAATCACAAACACGCTGTCACTGACTGAAGAGGGTGCTGAGGAGTGACGTGGCCATCTCATGGTGCTCCCACCATACTGACATAATAGAAGGGAATTACCTCCAATCCAGGGATGATGGTGAAATGCAGTCAAAGGATTAGGAAATGACGATTTTGGAGCATTTATCACCTGTGATTTTTTCTAAAGACCTTAATGTTTTTTATTGTATTTTATTATTATTTTTCAATCCTCACCCAAGGATATGTTTACCGATTTTAAAGAGAGAGGAAAGAAGGGAGGGAGAGAGAGAGGAACATGGATGTCCAAGAGCAACATTGATCAGCTGCCTCCCGCACACGCTCTGACTGGGGATTGAACCTGCAACCTAGATGTGTGCACCGACTGGGATCAAACCCATGGCCCTTCGGTGCACGGGGTGACTCTCCCACCAGGCCACCCACCAAAGCTATTACCTTTGCCTTTTATATCATTTACTTAACTGTAACTATATAACTGATTTTCTTAAATGATGGCTGTATTAACAACAGACTTGCAAAATTCCTGAAAGTTTAACCACGATGTTAAACTGGCTCCATCCCATCTGTAGGCACGGGTCACGGTCTGTCACACTGAGCAGCTGGGACATACTGAGGAACAGCCACGCGCCCTCCCCGCTTGTGCAAGTGCTACACTGCCAGGTGTGTCTCCCTGTGCGTGTATGGGGTGTGCAGCCAGCGGTACCCAGGCCCAGCTGTGGGTAAGCAGCTCAAAGTGCAGTGCGTTTACTTGTCTTTGTGGTGTGAGGTCTCTGCTGTAACATCTGAGTGTGTGAGTGTGGCTGTTAGGTGTGTAGTTTTGCATGTCCGGGTTTCCTTATTGTCTGCATGTATAGGTGTATAGTTGTCTTTGCATGTCTTTCTGTAAATACAACAGTCAGCGTATCTGTCACGTCAGGATCCAGAGCCGTGTCTCATATGCAGTTATGTTCACAGTTGCTTGTTTGGTTGTTGTGTGTGGTTGTGTGTGTAGCTACATTCGTGGTGTGCAATTGTGTGTGTGTGTGTAGCTGCGACGCGGCGCTTGCAGGTTCGAAACTGTTCCAGTGTGTGCACACCGACAGCATCTGACAGAAGCCCTAAGTTGCTGGCCCTTCAGGAACTGGCAGTAGACCCTGGGCCTGAGCTGCAACGTGGAGGGTGGAAGATCCGTCTTATAACAGGAAGTGTGTCCTCCTCTTGCTAACCACTCCTGGCGGGGCCCATTTGCGCTCCCAGAGCAAGCCCCACCTTTCTTGATCGCATGCCCAGAGCTCTGTGCCCACTCAGAGGCTGCAGAAAACCCAGGCACAGACGTGGCTGCAGACTGAACTATGAGCCCCTGTGGCCAGATTTGCGCCATTCCTGGAGAGAGCACTGAATACTTCCACAGGAATGCACTCCAGGGAATGCCATTTCCTCTTCCCTTTTTGCAGAAAGGGAAGTCTAGGCACGGAGAGGGGAAGTAGAGGGAGGACCTGTGGCCATAGAGGAGTGAGGGGAAGCCGGGGCAATCCCTTCCTTCTCAGCCACAGCTCTACTCCCAACCAAGCTGCTTCCCTCAGGTCTCCTGAGCTTCCTCAACCGACCCCCACCCTCCACTTCTCACACACAAAGGCCTGGAATCTCCTGGCCTAAAGCTGAGTCAGTAAGGATCAGGGCTGGGATAACCTGTCTGCCTTCTGTGGAATGTAGCTCAGAAGATCTGGGTGGGGCTCTGCTGCCCGGGGGGGAAAAGTGGCTTCAGGGTAGAAGTGGCTCCACGACTCCAGGCTCAGCTTCACTGATTTTGGAAGATTCCGGAATGGAGGTGGGTGGGGGCGGGGAGGTAAGGGTGAGAAGCTGCCCGCAGGGTGCTGTTTCATCTGGCTATGCAGAAACCGGTCTCCTCTTGTACTCTGAGCCAGCACTGTCCCAGGCTCTACTAAGGATTTCCCATCTCTCCCACCCTTACCACCAATAGCGGAGACAAAAATCCAGTGGCACTCCTCCCCAGGAGGTAGGTAATCTCAGCTCCTTCTTGCAGATGAAGAAGCTGAGGCTCTGGCCTTTATACCAACAACTCATTACTGTTCATGTCTCCTCTAGGGCCCCCGACATTCCATGGCTCCAGTAACCCTTCCCTTTTCTCTGCTTTAAGTCCATTCCTTTCCCGAGTTCCTAGGGTCACAGAAGGCCCTGGAAACGCAAGTCCTGCTCTAGCACAAGGCAATGGATGGCGAGAGGAGGACCGCCCCAAAACAGGACAAGATGGGGGGATGTGCCTGCTGGGCTACCCTCCACTCTCTCCCCGGCTGGTGTGCCCGGAACCTTCCTGAACGAAGGCCAAGTTTGCTCTAGCCAGGCAATCCCACAGTGTCAGCCCGAAGGCAAAGATCACGGGAAGGATCAAACATTAACTTCAAGTCGGTTTGCGCTCGGGGCTCCGCGTATCCTTAGGTAGGATCGCAGGTCCTGACTCCCCTCAAACTCTGGGTCGGTGAGCAAAGCCCAGGCCTCCAGCCCGCCCCTGACCCCCACCCCGCGGGCCCCAAGGGCTGCGGCTGCCCCGCACCTGTTCGGCCCCGCTGGCGCAGGCCCCACCCCGCGGCCAGGGAAAAGGAAACTTGCAAACAGAACCGCTCCTTGCGCCCGAAACTGTGCGGTCTCGGAATCTATGGCCCTTTGCTTCTCTCCCCGCTGGATCCACTCGCCGGTGCCCGGCAGACGCGGCTCAGCGCCCCTCGTCAGCTCGAGTTTCTTTGACACTTCTGGGGCCACCAGGATTTTGTTCCCTCCACCCCGCCCTCGCCACCACTTCCCTGGCTTTGCCCAAGTCGTCTGTCCCGGGACGCGGAAAGTCCTCTTCCGATCTCTTCCCTCGCTTCCCCGGCACAAGTTACCCCAGGACCCCTGAACCCTACATGTCCATAGGGACGTCCACAGGGGACGATCCCCGGGCCCGGTGCCCCAGCCACGCGCACGCCCACCCTGAGGTGCCCAGCAGTCCCCAAAAGGGCGCTGAGCCCCGCGCCCGTGCGCTTCCCTCGGGTCCTGGGTCCCGCGCGCGCCTCCCGGGCGCCCGGCCAGCTCGCTCCCCCGGGACCCTCAGGCTGGTCGGCGCCGCGCCTCCCAGGGTCGGAAACTGTGGCCCAAACTCTACAGCCTCACCGTGTTCTTCCTGGCTACCATCTTCTCCAGATTTTTGGCGATTCTTAGCAGCTCCTCTTCCTGGCCCATGTTGGCCCGCGACGCCCTGCGGGGCCACGGGCGCTGGGGCAGCAGCTGGGCCTCGGGGGCGGGAGGCGCAGAGACGGAGGGCGTGCAACACGCGCGGGACGCAAATACACACGACACACACGCCGGGCGGGGGCGGGGTCCCCCTCCCCGCCCGCCTGCCTCCGATGTGGGGGAGGGGTGGCGTGCACTAAATATAGATTTCAAGGACTTGCTGGGGCAAAGATTGCCCGCGCCGGCCGGTCGGGCCTCCCGAGCTGGACGGGGCTCCTCCGGGCCCTTTCTTTGCGGGGCGGTGCCGGGAGCTGGGGAAGGTTTGGAGAGGGACGCTCTGACGGAGTCAGGAGGCCGTTGTCCCGGGACACAAAAGGCTGGCCGGGTGAGAAGGGCGCCTGAGTGCGCAGCGGGAGCTCGGGCAAGAGTTCGGGACTCCCGCGTGTCTGCACCGTCACAGCGCAAAGCGGTGGACCCAGCTCCGCGCCTGTGCCCAAGTGGAGGGGCGTGATCACTAAACCGAACTCTGCCGGACCCTGTGCTCACTCATATCCTGTGCGCACGCGTATCCAGGCCGTTCGGTTTCGCAGGGTTTCACACGGTCCTGCAGAAGAGCTACGTTCGGCGCTGCTGCTTCAGGGCGGCCTTGAGTAGTGAGGGCTTGGGAGGGTCACAGCGCCCAACTCTGAGAAATACTGACCCAGGCGCAGGGGCACCCTCTATTCGCGGCCAGGGCACTGCCTCCTCAATGGGAGGGCGTCTGGAGGTGTCGTCTTGAGTGGAGAGGAGACAGAATTGTGCCAACACAGCTGTGCACACGTCTGTGTTTCCGAGGAAGGACCTCCCAAGGGTCTCCGGCAGACCCGGGCAGGTCTCTTCCTAAACAAGAGAGTTTAACTGACAGAAGATTATCTTTTGGAGGGAAGGGTGCTTAGGGACCTGGGGGAGGCATGTAAAGCGGTCCCCAGTGCGTGTGGGGGTGGGAGCTGTGGTTTGGAGTGTTAGGTGACATCTTCAGACTCTCCTGGGAGAACCAGGGAGAACCCCAGCCCCGCTCATTCACAGAGACAGTGCCCTGTGGTGTCATCTGGCTTGGGACTGCTGCTGTGTGCCCTGGGACCAAGGTAGGAAGGGGTGATGTTTGTCATTCATTCAGAAATGCGTTGAGCGTTGTAGCAACAAATAAGACAGACCCAGTCCGGCAACCTTGAGAATGGGGTCTGCAGGCGAGAGAAACCCTTCAACACGTGTGGATACTGTCCATTGTGTATTGTCATGGCTAGGGTGAGGGGCAGGGAGAAGGGCACACACCTTAAGAACACACTTGAGAGGGTGTCATCTCCGAAGAAACAAAACTTAAACTTTGGGCAGAAGTGCAGAGTGGGAGTTGGAGGGAGGAGGAAGGGAGTGTTTACATAAGAGAAGAAACATTCACTCGTTCAACATACATTTATCCAGCACCTACCCTGAGCCCGGTGGATCCAGCCCTGCGCATCCAGAGAGGAAGCACGCGGTCCTCCTGGAGTTTCAGATGTGCAAAGCGTAGGGATGGGAGGGGGCTGAGCGTGTCAGGGTTGGAGGAACTGAGAGACTGGCGTGGCTGCAGCCCAGAGGTGAGAGGGGTGCGGGGAGAAATGGGGCAGAAAATCAGAGATGGGTGGGGCCCGACCACGCAAAGCACCTTCGGCTACTTCTCGGAGGTTGGACTAGCAGTTTGGGGTTTGGGGAAGTCTCTTGACCAACCCCTAAGAGAGCCCCTCTAGACCCAAGGAGCAACTGTCGCAGTTACTTAGGATTGCCTTTCAAAAAGCTGCGTTCAGCTTTTGGCTTGGAGGAGGCCTAGGCGCAACCTTCTTAGGTTGTCAGAATCCAGGTTCATCCACACCAGCTGCCTCTACCATGCACTGAAGTTTGACCCCAATAGGATCAAAGTCGTACACCTGAGGGGCACTGGCAGGGGAGTTAGTGCCCCGTCTGTCCTGGCCCCCAAGATCGGCCCCCTGGACCTGTCTCCAAAAATGGTGGTGATTTCACCGTCAAAGCCGCTGGTGACTGGGAGGGTCTGAGGGTCGCAGTGAAACTGGCCCTTAGGAACAGAGAGGCCCGAACTGCGGCCCTGCCTTCTGCCCCTGCCCTGATCTCAGCCCCCTCACAGGACCCGCCCAGGACAGGAAGAAGCAAAAAACCAACAGAACGAAACAAAACGCCATTGAGCACAGTGGAAACACCACTTTCAATGAGGTTGTGGACATCGCCCCACAGTCATGTCACCGATCTTTAGCTAGAGAACCCTCTGGAAGCATCAAAGAGGTCCTGGGATGGCCCAGTCTGTGGGCTGCCACCCTGATGGCCGCCGCACTCGTGACGTCACAGGTGACATCACAGATGACCTCCGCAGTGGCACGCGCTGTGGGCCACCCAGCTAGTGAACAGCTACGGACAGAACTATGTCAGTTCAAGGTCATTTGATAATAAATGCACATATTTGGTTTTCCTCACATTTCCATTTAGTTCCCACTTTGAGTGGTGTGACAATGAAATAAGCAAGATGCCTGTGTCACCAGGGCTCACAGGACCCCAGGAACATGAGTCGGACCTCTTCCTGGCCTGACAGGGAGATAGGCCCAGAGAGGCCCGGGCTGGCATTGCTCCAGTGTTTCGGAAACAGCTGGCACCCACTCGCACTCCCTCTGCCTCCCGGGCCTCCGGGGAGGCCACCTGCAGGCAGCGCCTGGACACGCTCCTTCCCACCTCCCTGAGCGAGGGCTTCCAGACACGCTGGAAGAGCTTGGGAGCTGACACCCCCAGTAAGGACCTTCCCAACCAACAAAGGACCTGCCCTAACAGGTGTGGTTCAGTTGGTGGCTGGGCACCGTCGGCAAAGTGAAGGGTCCCCGGTTCAATTCCTGGTCGGGGCACAGGCCTGGACTGCAGGTTTAGTACCTGGTCGGGGGTCGGGGGGGTGGGGGGATGACTGAGAGGCAACCAATGGGTTTCTTGCTCACACTGATATTTCTCTCCCTCCCTTTCTTCCTTCCTTACCCCCCTCTAAAAAGAAATAAAATCTTAAAAATAAATAGACCGGAGTTGGTGGTAAAAACACGGATTTCTTCATTCTATGAGACAACCTGAAGGCATACCCTAATCTATACATTCTCTCAAAGGTCTCCAACAAGGTAAGCCCTGATTCTCATGGGGATAGCGCATCATGAACACACCCTTCACTGCTTCTTAATCTTCTGTTTCACTTCCTTACTCCGTCGTTATGCTTCCTGGGATCACTTTGCAAATAAACAGCTTGACCTGAATTACCTGCATCAGGGAAAATCAAATTGCGACAAGACCTGAGCGGCGCTAAACTGCAGGTCTCCTCACTCCTGGACCGGTGCTCTCTCCCCCCACTGTGCCAGGGTTTCTCCACGGTGGCAGTGTGAGCATTTTGGACCAGAAAACCCATCGTTGTGCGGGGCTGACCTGTGTGTTGTCACCTGTTTAGCAGCACCCCTGACCTCTAGCCACTAGAGGTCAGTAGCACCATTCCATTGGGAGCAGTGACCTTGTGTCCCTCGGGGGCGCAAGGCCCCAGGCTGTGTACCTTACAGGGTCCAGAGGAAGATTTCCAAGCCCTAAGGTTCTCTCCGCTTCCCTATTGCACTTCAGATCACATAAATAAAACACTGGGATTTACTAAAAAAAAAAAGGGAAAAGAAAAGATTTTTTTTTTTTTTTTTTTTAATTAGAGATGAGTAAAAGAACAAGTTCGTACACTGGGAGCTCAGAAGACAGCTCTGTCCCCAGGGAGCACAGAGCAGTTGGGCCTCTGGGCCCAGCTGTGGCACCGACCACCGCGCCCTCTGGCCTCCCCCTGGTGGCCTGGCCCATAGGCCACTATAAAGCAGGGGAGTCAGACCCTGCTGAGGGCTTCGTGGGTCTGTTTTCTACTATGCAGCTGAAGGCCTGGGCGGAACTCCCGGCAGTGGGAAGCAGATCTGTTAAGTCTCCGCCCTCCCGTTCCTATCAGTGCCCTTTCACCTCTCGTGACCCTTTCCTTCCTGAGACCGGAAGGCTCCTCCTGAGTCAACCAAGAGAAAGAGGAGAGCAGTGAGAAGCCATCACCCAGGATGTGTCCTGCTAATCAAGGAGACGGGGCAATGGGGGTGAGTCCTGCTCTGCTTCTTGGCTGGGAATACAGTAGGGGTCCCAGGAAGGCTGTAACGTCCCTCAAAAGGAGTGACAGTCAGAATATTTAGTTAACAGGCAGTAACGGCGGCACGGACACGGACCAGTCAGAATGGACACGGGCTGTAGACAGTGGCAGTGTCATGCCCCGATCCCCAAACCACCTGCCTTGCCCATTCCCCAGCTCAGCCCCTGAGACCAGCTTCCCAGCGAGGGACCGCAGCTGCAGGGCCCTTGTCTTATCCATGTGGCATCTGCGGTGCCTGGTGCAGGTCCGGACACAGAGCCAGAACTTAAGAAAAAAACACTAATGAATAGACAAGGAGATGGCCCTTGTCTGGCAGAATCACTGGTCTGGAGGATGATGAAGGCAGGCTGCCTCTATTCTTGGGAAGTCCCCAGACTGAAGGAGGAAACAGAACCTTGGTCCTGTGGGGGCTGAGGGTCTGCATGGAAGCTAGCTCAGGGGCACTCGGATCCAGCCAAAGGGCCTCCTGTACCAGTGAGGGGGCGCAGTTAATGGGATGGAGAGGAAAGAACCACCATCAACCCTAACGTAGTGTCCTTGGCAGGGGCAGGGGCCCATGGCGGGGGGGGGGGGGGGGCCAGCCACAGGGGCACAGAGAGAGCAAGACCCAAAGAAATGAACACCTCGGCTCCCCAGCTTGTGGGCTCAAGTCCTAGCTCTGATCGTCGGGGTCCAGCAAGTTGGTGGTTCACGCATGCAAGGGCCAGCGAGGAGCTAGTCTTGCAAAAGCTGCACAGACCTTCCTAGGAGAACTCCAGTTCTTAAGCCTTCTCCTTCAGTGAAGCCAACCTGGGGAGAAAAGGATGAAAATGGGCATTTTTGTATGCACTTATTGTATACTAGCTCTTTATCGCACTCAGTTTCACAACTGTCCTATGGTGATGAAATTATATCATAATATGGGGGTAGAGAAAAGCATCCCCATTTTACAGACAACGAAACTGAGGCTCAAAGAAGTGAAGCCACTTGCCCAAGTCTCCTCCTCACTCTAAAGCTAGAGCTCTTATTATCATACATGCTTCAACAAGAGGTATCAGCTAAATGCTGGGTAATAGATACCTGGTTGGGGACACCGATTTGTGTTTGGTGCCTGACGTTGACAGACTGAAGATGACAGTCCCCAGGGAGACCCAGCTCCTGCCCTTCCCTTCCCCCACTCCTAACACAGACCACCCACATCACCCCTGAGGAATTCCGAGGGGAACAAGGAACAGACTGGGGCTTCCTTCCCATTGCTACTGGCTCTGTCCTTTGCCATTGGCAGGTTCAACCAAACAGACGTGCATCCTCTCTGCCTGGGAGCCGCAGGCTCAGCAGACTGCAGGAGACTCCTGCACTAGGGGAGAGTGTAGGCAGACCGGGGGCTGGTCCACAGCCACCCTAATCCTGCCTCAACTGCAGGGGCGTGGTTCCTTCTCTCTGAGCAACCAGCCTGGGTGACAGAGCTTTGCCCATCCTCCCCTGGGGAGTGTCAGAGCTTGGGCCTCACCACCTCTGCCGCCCCTCAAGGCCTGGGCTCTCCCCTGCTTCACCCAGCCCGGGCTGGAGCGGGGAAAGCGAAGCACCAGGACAGGGGATGGCCAAACTGTGGCCACCTTGGCCGGTGTGTGCCCCGATCCTGGGAAGAGGTCTCCCGCCCTAATCCACCCTCTCTTGACCGACTCTGCCCCCCCAGGCACTCTGCCATCTCCCCTCAAGCCACAGTCCTGAGCTCCTACCTACTGGCAGGCTCCTTCTGGGTAGGGGCTGCCTGGCTGGGGGGCAGTCTTCCAGGTTCTGGCGCCCCCCCGCCGGTAGGAGCGAGTGCTCTCGGAGCTGGAAAGCAGGGAAAGGCCAATGTGACCCCGATGCCCACAGGGCTCCCCCACCCCCAGAGCAGAGAGGAAGGGCTCGGGTGCAGAATGAGGCTGGGGGGGCTTAGCACAGGTGGGTAGAGTCCACGGGGCCCCCCCAACTGGGTCTATCACAGGTCCCAGAGGCCTGGAAATGACCTCTAGAGAGCTGGAAATTTTCGCTTGTCTACTCCCCACACTCCAAGCTGAAAGGGTTTGTAAGGAGGAGAGGACTGGATCCTGGGCTGAAGGTGGAGACAGAGTGAAGACCCCACTGACAGCCTCTAGGACAAGCTGCACAGATGGGATGCAGTCTTCTCTACTCCAGCGGCAGCTTTCTGGGTCCTAGATTCTTAACACTCCAGGCCAGACTCGGAAGCAAGTGGGCAAAGGGGAGAGAAGTCCAATCACCCTCCGCTCAAGGTCTAGTATTTCGGTGCTAGTCACGGGCCTCGGGGCTGGAAGATACCCCAGTCTTCATGAAGACACAGTTCTGAGTCGGGGAAGTAAATGAATGCTCAGAGACACCAGGGCACTTGCCCAGGTCGCACAGCTGGGCTCTCACCAACCTGAACCTGACTGGGGCGCACATCTCCGCAGGGGTGGTTCCGGGGGTCAGGCTGGGTTGGGAGGTGCTTGGGGCTTCCAAGAGGCCCTCTTCAGAGCTGGGTGGGGTTTGGTTGCCACCCCCAAGTTCCACAGGGCTCGCGAGGCTAGAGGAGGAGGATGTCCGACTGCCCTGGCTCTCGGGGGCCCCCGGAGGCTCTGAGCTCAGGCTGGGGATTTCAGGATGATCTGGAATCAGAAATGATAAAGCCTGTCTTCATCTCTTATTCTGCTCAATGTCAAAGTGTTCTTAGGCTTCCAGGACCTCTCCGCTCCCCGGCTGTCTCCCCGGGGCTTCTCCTTCAGCTCTTCCCCGCCACATGCAGTCTCACCCACCCACGACATTCATTCACCACAGCCAGGGCCACGGTGACACCGCATGGCCTCTGCTTACACATTCTCCTCGGCCTGGGCTCTCCTGCTCATCCCTCAGGCTCAGCTCGGAGGCTGTCCCCACCACCAGGAAGCCTTCCCAAACCACCCTGCAATCCCAAGAGGACATGCTCTCTCCCTCTCCTGAAATCCCAGAACAAGCCAGTTCATTCATTCATTCAACAAACAGTTCTTGAGAACAGCCAGGCAGCCGGGCACCGTGCTGGGTGCTGGAGAAGTGGTGAGTAACAAAACACTCAAAGTTCCTGCTGCCTTGGGACTCACGTTCCTTATACTGAATTCCGGTTTTTGGCTCCCCCACTTGACTATGTCTCAGTAGCCCCCAAAGGCCTCGAGACGTAGTGGGGTGATCAGTGAATGCTTCTCTCGTTATTTAAGTGGAGCACTGACAAGTTTGGAATAAAACAGACTTGGGTTTGACTCCCACAGAGGGGACTTATGTGCGTCCCTTAACACCTCTGTTCCTGTACTTGTAAGGGGGAGATGATAATCCCCACCTGTGAGGGTGACATGGACTAACAAATGTACTCTGAGCCCAGTGCCAAGCACACAGTAGGCCCTCAATGAACGGCAAAGTGAACATTTTTCTGGGAAGCCAACCATACCTCCACTGGTATGTCCCGCGCGGCCTTGGACCATGGCCCGAGAAGGGTTTTTGACCGGTAAGGGTGGGGGGCAATCCTCACTCTGGCTCTGAGGGGCAGCCGATCCCAAGCTGGTGATGGCCTCGTAGGTCTTGTTGCTGATGTCCACCCTCCCACTGGCGCAGTGGACAGGGGCCGGGGCCTTCAGAGCGCAGCCCTGCTGGGGCGGAAGTGTGGGAGGGAGGACAGCCTGGTTCCCAGCTCAGCCCCATCCCTCCCCAGTGGCAGGCCCGATCCGCTGCTTTCCCTCTGCTGTCTGGAAGCCTGAGAGGCAGGGGCTGGGACCCACCTTCTCTTCCTCTTCCTCCTCACTGTCAGAGGCAGGCTCCGTGGAAATTCCCCAGGAGTAGTCCACATGCAGAGGGAAGACAAGGGTCCCAGCCTGGGCCTGTTCCAGCTGCCAAAAACAAAGCCTTGACAGTTCAGAGGGTCAGGGCTCAGAGGAGAGAAGGTCAGGGTACCCTCCTTCCCTAGACCTCACCAGCTCCACACACTCCTTGTGCAGCTTCCTCCTGGCTATGTCCAGAGCTGTCTCTCCATCATCGTTCACTGCGAGGGGTAACGGCAGGAGTCACAGTCAGGGTCAAAGCCACTTGAGAGCTTAGAGGTTAAGATGGGCCTCTGGAATCAAACTGTCTGGGTTTGAATCCTGGTTGTGCTACTTTCTGGCTGTGTGAGCTTGGGCCTTAATTTTCTCATCTATAAAATGAATATGATGGCCCTGGCTGCTGTGGCTCAGTGGATGGAGCACTGGCTTGCAAACCAAGGGGTTGCAGTTTCGATTCCCAGTCAGGGCACATGCCTGGGTTGCTGGCTAGGTCCCCAGTGGGAGGCACACGAGATGCAACCACACATTGATGTTGCCCTCTCTTTCTCCCTCCCTTCCCCTCTCTCTAAAAATAAATAAATAAAATCTTTTAAAAAAAATGAGTATGGTACTTGTAACTGCCTGACCAGGTTGCTGTGAAAAATGAATGAGTGAATAGGTGCCGAGCACCGGGCATGTTACCAGGCACAGGTTAAACAATAAATGGTGGCTGTTATACTCACTATAATTCAGGTTCAGCTCAATTTATTTGGTTAGGTACTTTCAGAAACAATATTTCTTTTACCCTCTTAGCAGGCCTAGTAGATCAGTGGTATTATTCCTGTTTTGCAGATGAGGAGGCTGAAGAGCTGATTCAGCTCAAGAGCTGAATGGGCAAACCCCACAGTCACACAGGTGGGCAGAGGCAAGCCAGGATTAGGACCCAAGTCTGACCGCAAAGCACGTGTTTGTGACCAGTGCTGTGTGTGGGGAAAAGGCGGGATTCCACCCGAGGGGTAGCCCCGGGGTGGGGGTCTGATGGAGGAGGCTTCCGGGCCCCACCTGTGCCCGAGGAAGCTCTTCCTTTCAGCAGCAGCTTGAGGCAGTCGGGTTGGTCGTAGAGAGCGGCGTAGTGCAGAGCACTGTTCCCATCAGCAGCTGTGGCGTCCAGGTGACCGCTGGGGAGGTGCGGTCAGGGAGGCAGGAAGGGAAATAGAGAGGGGAGGGGTCAGTGTCAGGGTAAGAAGAGGAAGAGGAGAAGAGGGAGGAAGAGTGGGAGAAGAGCAAGGCAAGGGGCCAGTGTGAGGACATGGACAGACAGGCGGGAGGTCCTCACCCATTCTGAATGATGAAATCCACCAGGGGCAGGGAGGCCTGGGTGGCGACTCTCACGGCCAAGTGCAGGGCCAGCTCTCCGGGGGCCTGCATACACGTCCAGAGCCCTGAGTTTCCCCCAGTTCACTCGCCCCCAACCCAATACCACCCGCTTGAACCCTTGCTGCCTTCTGACACCTCCAGATAAGAAGCTGCCAGAACCTGTGTGAGATGAGACTGAATGGACAGACCTCCTGTTTGAAAGGAGGGTGGAAGACCCTCCCATCATCTCTTCCTTCAGTGGCTCTGGCTCCTCTTGCCCCCAGTCGAACATGTTTCCCAAACTTGGTCTGGGCTCCTCTCTCTGCTCCTCTCCCCACCACCCAGGGCCTCAGCTCACCTCACCTCAGCCATCACTCACGTAGGCTGTTCGAGTTCTGACCTCACCTTCCTGCTGCACGCACAGGGCCCATGACAGCCCCACAGAGATACCAGACAGCTCACGGACAGGCCACCCCATGCTGGGTGTCCGATCAGTCAGCAACTCCTATCGATTTTATCTTTCAAGTGTCTCTGATTGCCACCCCCCTTCACATGTCTGTTCCTGGAAAAGCCATACACTGGCCTTCCTGCTCCGATCTGACCCACCTTTATCCCCTTCTGAGGGTGTCCAAGAAAAAGATGATACTAATAATTTATTGCACACCCCTTGTGCACCAGGCCCTGCACATACAGGACTTAATTCTCATTTCAGCGCTGTGGGCGCTATCATAACCCTGTTTGACAGACGAGAAAAGACTCAGAGAAGGGACCTGCTGTGGCTCGCACAGCTAGGAGCAGACAGAGCCCGGACTCTGGCTCAGGTCTGCCTGACCGAACCTGAGCCGTTCCCCATCCACCCCATGTCTGAGATGGGCAGTGGGGAGTAATAGCTGGTCCCGGGACAGGGGAGTATGTGAGGTGGGCGGGTAAGTGGTCCTCGGAGGGGTTCTCACCTGCCCCTCGGGCCCCGGCAGCCGCTGTCCAAAGTCCTGCCCGTTAGCGAAGGCCTCCAGGACAGACAGGAGGTCCTGGTTACAAATGGCCATCCGGAGTCTCTGAGGCTCGGGTGTGGACCGCCGGGCAAACCTGTGTTCCACATACTTGGCCACGATATAGTCCCTCCGGGCACCCCTGCCAAAGACAAGCGCAGGGTCTCAGAGCGAAAGCAGTTTCTGCCTAGCCGACCCCTGAACCATAACACAGCAGACAAGGGATCTCCTTGCCCTGGAATCTGTCCTGGACCCTTACAGATCTGAGGCTCCCCTCTCCCCAGACTTCTGGTCCAAGATGCTTCCGGGACCTTGGGAGCTGGAGGGACAGAATCCCCAGCCAGGACGCCCTCCATCTGAGAATCCCCTTACATGTCACTGTCAGCTGAAGGTTTAGGGCTGCCATGTGAGGGCAGCTGGGCCTCCATGACCTCATTGAAGCGCGTGTTTCCGATGTTCAAGGCCAGCTGGAGTCACAGGAAAGTAAGACGAAGTGGTTAAAACAGCGCCCCCTGGAGGACGATCCCCCAGAGATAGCCACTCCCCAACTGCCCCCTTTTCTGGTAGGTCGGGATCCTGCCTCACCTCAGCCACGTCCCACTCGACCCCACAAGCTCTGGCTGAGCCAGTCTGCCCAAGCCCGCCTCCCGATCAAGCCACGCCCCGAAACCCCTCTGTCCCCACCCCACCCTCACCAACAATTCGGAGGGACACAGCAGGTCCAAGGTGAGGGACTGCATGCGCGAGAATCGCACACCCAGCTCGCGGTGGACGCCAGAGCACTGGATGCAGGTGAGCACTCCCAGGTTGGTGCTGAGCCACGTGGGGTCTGCAAGGGAGGGCAGCTCGTTCCTGGAGGTGTGGGACCTTCCCCTCCCCTTCCGCTGCCCTCCTCCGAGGCCCCGCGCCCGGACCTGCAGCTCCACAGTCGCAGCACTGGCTGTTCCCGGGCCTGTTCTTCACCTCCGCGATGAGCAGCCTGGTGAGGTCCTGGAGCTCCCCGTCCAGCCCAGCGCCGCCCCAGGGCCCCGGGCTGCCGCTGGGCTCCCCGAGGAAGGCACTGCTCAGAGCTTCGTCCTTGCTGTTCTGCAGCACTGACACCCACCTGCGGAGAGTGTGTCCGGTGGTGTGGGGAGGTTACGGCCCTGGGGTCCTGCCCATCAGGCTCCCTGGCTCCCACCCCCCCTGCACCCCCCAGGCTGGTGGTGGGGAAGCACTCACGCCTCACACTCATGTTCGTCCTCCGCCTGGAAGTGGTATGTCCTGTTGTCTGTGGGGAGACGAGGAGTTGTCTGGGCCGCAGAAGTCCTGCCGGCCTTCCCTGGGCCCTGGGAGCCCGCACCCAACCACTGGCTACAGGTGCAGCCCTAGACCCTGTGGGCCAGTAATGGCAGTGGCCAGCAGAGGGGGCAGTGTCTCAGCAGTGACCTACAAACATCCACAAAGTAGATCCAGCAAGACTGTGTGCAGTGGGGTCCCAGAGTCAGGGGAAGTCTTCTAGGGAGGGCACAGGACCCTACCCAGCTCAGAGGCAGTGCCCCCTCTGAACCCACTGCCACCACCCCACCTGGCCCCACGGCTCCCTATCTGGGCTCTTTGCTCCTCATCTTGTCCCCTTGCCCAGCCTGAACCACCAGCTACCAGATTGTTGCAACCGAAGGTTCTGCTCTAACCACAGCTCTCCCCTGCTCTAAGATCTGCCTTGGCTCCCCACGGCCAGGAATTAAGACCTACACCTTTAAGAGGCATTCCCAGGCTTCGTCCCCAACTACTCCTAGGTGAAGCCTACACTCTGGCCAAACTGGCCAGACCTACGCTCCTGTTTTATGCCAGTCCTGTCTCCTGAAACACCCTCCCCAAACTCTGCCTCCTGAGTCCTTTGAGGCTCACGTCACATGCTCTCTCCTCCAGGCAGCCTCTCCTGACTTGGCACAGCAGGGCAGGCGCAGGCCTTGCCCCCCTTTCATCTTTGACAGTGCTGTGTCTATCTGTCCCTCTCTTCTGCACACCCCCGCTCCCGGGCCCCCAGTCACACCCCTGCCAGAGAGGGCTCCCCCAAGGGCGAGACCTAGGCTGTTCTCAACCTGTACCTGCCCCCGGAAGGGCTGGCACCAAAGGCTCCGAAGGATGAACAGTGAACATGTTGAATAATAATTCCAAAAGCCAAATTACCCAAATCCACCCAACTGTGCTTTACAGAGTGTCCGTAGCAGCTGTTCGACAAACAGGTGTGGGATTGGACACAAGCCCCTAATCGCTGCCGCCTGGCTGCGGACAGGTCTCTTAGAGAAGCTTTGGGCTGCTGTGGGGAGGGGCCAGGGACTACTCACGAGTCACCAGGTCAAAGCACTTTTTCTCCTCGGGGTGTGGCCTCACTTGGCACGTCAGCAGGGTCAGCTTCACGGGGGGCCGGTTTATCTGTGGGAAGTCAGGGGTGGAGGGCATACTTGTTACCCTCTGGGCCTCCCAAACTCCCGAGGCCTCTGTTTCTCAATCTGTTAAATGGGCGTAATCCAGTTCCCGTTTCCTGTCTCCCCTCTCCCAGCACCCCAGAATTGTAGAATGTGGGCTGAGACTGGGAGCTTTGGATCCCATCTTTCCCTCCATGGGGGTCGGTCTTAGAGGAGAGGGCTTGACACTCGTTTGCTCAGAACGCCAGGAGAAAGGACCTGGGGTGCTGCGACCCTCCCCCCCCAGGCCTTACCATGCTGTGTGAGATGGTCAGGCAGCCATACTTGACTCCACACTTCCTTTTCTGCCAGACTCTTCGAATTCTAGGGCCCAGAGGGACAGAGAGACAGCGACCTGAGGCTTGCACCTAATTCCTCTGTGTCAGAAAAGAGTCCTGCACTAGATCTCCAGCCCCAGCCTCACCTCTTCACCTCTTCTGTCCCCCGACTCCTAGACCCCTCCCTTTCGGGGCCCCCTTCTGGAGAAGACGCAGTTCTGCCCAGAAGTAGCTCCCAGTCTGATGGGGGGAAACAGCCTTGCTCTCTGGGAATCCTCATTCTGAAGGTAACCATGTGACCTTGACTCTCTGAGAGCTTCTAGTCTGATGGAGGAGACACAGCCCCCACCTTAGGGCGCTCCCCCCTGAGCGGAGGCTTGGGCACTTGACCACAACGGACGGATTTCGGTTAAAGACAAAGCGAGATAAATACGGGACCCCAGAGACACAAGGGGAGGGGCAAATCCATGCTCCAAAGCTGCGTAACACCACTGCAAATATTAATCGGCTGAACAGCTATTCTCTGATGAAAACCGATTAGAAAGCAGAAACGTGAACACATCCCCTAGAGGGCGTCGCATTTCACAGACTGATTTTTCTACACCAGGGAGCAAGGCACAGGTGACACTTTCATTTCCGGGCATGCTCAGTGTACTGTGGAGGTTAAGCGTGAGGCTATGGAGATTGTTGCAGGGGTGTCCAACCCGTGGCCCCTGGGCCACCTATGGCTCCGGATGGCTAGGAATGGGGCCCAACACAAAATTGTAAATTTACTTATAACATCACGAGGTTCTTTTTGTGATTATGTGTCACAATGTATTTAATGTGTGGCTCAAGACAACTCTTCTTCCAGTGTGGCCCAGAGGTGCCCGGAGGTTGGACACCCCTGGCTAGGACGTAGTCAATGCTCAGAAAGTGTTAGCTGCTGCTGTTGTTCTTCTTCAAGTTGAGAACAACCACTGACTTTCAGAAGTTCCCGTGCCCGGACTGCGATGATTGCGCATTGCCCAGTGGAGGGTCCTGGAACCCTCAGGGTTTACACAAATGATAAGAACAGTCCTTTCGGTCAGCAACTCCGACCCTGACATTTACCATCTGTGTGGCTTTGGGCGAGTTACTTAAGCTCTCCAGGTCACTTACCCGTCACTTTTCTTGTATAGAAAGCCCACCTTCTCCGTCCCAAATTGCTTGTTGCCTTGGTGCTGGTGGATGCTGTAGCCACACCCCGAGTTCTTCCGGCTCATATTCTCCTGTTCCTCAGACATGCAAAGGTGACCTCGGGTTGGAAGGAGCCCCACCGTGCACAGTCTCCCGCAAGGAGATTTAAGGGGACTCTGAAGTCTCCCTTCTCTTCCCCGCAGCACCCCCCCTCACCCCAGTATGGTGTGCCCTGGGGGAAGCACTCCTTTTGGGAGAATCGGGGGCTGACCTCTCTGTTCTCAAGCTGCAGCATCCCTCGGAGGGAGTCCCGGAGTTGGGTCAGCTTCTGTAGCTCCTCCTCTTGGGCTTGATGCAGCTACGGGACGGAGGACAGGGCCCCATCCTCAGCCAGCAGATATGCCAGGTGAGCAGCCCAGAGCCAGAGCAGCAGGGCGGGGGCCTCTCTCCCTGGGCCAGGGCCAGCTCTTCCACACCCACAGATTCTCCCGGAAGGACAGGGGGTCGACCACGTGCCAAAGGGTGAGGCCCGACTTACTGCATGTACGGAGGCTGCCAGCTTCTCGATGAAGGGGGACAGGCTCTGAGCAGCCTTCCAGCCATCTTGGAAAAAGCTAAGAGGTGCGAGGCCAAACAAGGGACCAGAGGGACATGAAAATGATAGATACAGCACAAAGCATGGGGCGAGGGCTCTAAGGATCACCGGGCAGCATAGTCTGATGGTCAGGAGCAGGCACCCTGGAGTTAGAGTGTCTGGGTCCGGGTCCCACTAATTATGTGTGTGAGCTTAGTAAAGCTGAGCCTCAGTTTTCTCATCTGTACAATGGGGATAATAAGAGTCCCTGCTCACAGGGGTGCTGAGGGGTTGAGTGAGATCAAGTGACACATGGAGGGTGCTCAATGGAGAAGAGCTGTAACAAATACTACCCACAAGAGACAGACACACGGAGTCCTTGAGGGGCTGCCAGACCCTGGGCATGGGATGTGGTCTGTGTTGCCTGATGGGTAAAGGGATGAGGAGCGTGGAGGTAGGGCTGGGAACGTGGGAAGAAACCTACTTGTGCTGGGCGTGGAAGAACTTGATGAGGCTCTGCAGGAAGTCAGGACCTTGCTTCATCTGGCTCTCCCCGGCTTTGAGCAGATACTGGGGGTGGGGAGGGGTGAGGGGGCGGGGCAAGATGTGCCACGTGAGCAGAAACTAAGTCCTTGGGACAAGGGGCTGTAGTCCCCTTCCCAGGCTACTCCTCTTGGCCACGAGTGAAGCTTGACAACATCCCAAGGGCCACCTGGCCAGGACCTGATCTGAGGCTGTGACTGGGCCCCTGGCAGTTCAGGAGAGGCAGACAGGAAGACACATCCCGCCCTCCCCTCCCCTGGAGCAGCTGTTACCTCACACATGTGCAGTTGGAAGACACGCCGCTCTCTGTGTGTGTCCTGGGCCACCTCCCCGGGGTTCCCTCCTGTCACCCTGGCCCGGTCCCTTTCCTTCTCCAGCCTGGTCCTAGGCCCCAAGGAAAGAGAGGTCTGAACAACTCTTGCCGGCCCCTTTCACATCTCACCATCCCTACGTCCTCCTCTCTGCCATGGGCACACAAGAGCGAGGGGGCCCTCCTGTGTGCCAGCTGTGTGCTAGGGTGGGGTACACAGTGAAAAAGGCACATTCAGGGAACCCACAGGCTCAAGGGGGAAAAAGACATGAGTCAAATCACAGCCTTGAGGAGAGCGGTGAGGGATAAAATGGTCACTCAACCTTTTCCAGCTGCTCAGGAATTGATGTTTGATCTGGGATCTGAAGTCTGAGAAGTTGTCTCGGAAGAATCTAGGGCTGGGTAGGAGGACCAGAGCATGTGACGGCCGGAGGCAGGAGGGATCAGGAGCCCAGATGGAGAGGGAGGTGGTTCCAGGTGAGCTAAAGAGGGGCCAGACCATGCAGGGCTACCTCAGACCCTGTCGAGGTTCTTGGTCTTTATCCCAAGAGCAACAGGAATGACTTCAGGGTTTTATGCAGGGAAGTGATGGGCTCAGATAAGGGCCAGGTGGGGAGCTGGGCCCCTTCTGTCTGATTTTACTGAAAGGGATTTAGTACCACGTGGGTTGGAAGACCACTAAGTACCTTCATTCTTCTGAGCTGTGGAGTTTCCCATGTAAAGCTTAGAAAGCTTTCTTTCTTTGTAAGTGAAGATAGAAAGTGCTTCCTATCCTAGTGACTGAAATTAACCTGGGCTTTCTCCCCACAGATCGCAAGGGCTGGCTTTTTCTCTCTGGAGGTGGGTGGAAGTGTGTGTACACGGTTTCCTGGAAATCCCATACCCGTCAGACCACCCACTCCCAGCCAGGAGAGTATTTCCATCTTGGCGCATGTGACCACGAATCCTGTAGAAAGGAGACATCTCACTTAAGAGTCCTATGCCCAAGTGGGGGCCAGCCCTGAGCACAGAAGACAGATGCGGGTCACACTACAAGCTGCATTACTTTCCCTCTCTGAGCCTCAGTCTTCTCATCTGGAAAGTGGGGACCCTTATCTGTACCCAGATGAGATAAAGTGTGCAACAACCTTAGCACATAGAAGATACAACAGCTATTATTACTACAGGCCCCTCCATGCCTCAGTCTCCCATCTGTAGGCTGAGGAAGCAATGGCCTAGAATGGACTCTGCCACTACAGCACCAGGCCTTGCTGAGGTCAGACCGGTGGGATCCTGTTTACAGGCAGAATCTGTACCCAAAGCAGTGTCTCAGCCTTGGACCTAAAGACATTGCGAACACACGAGCCTTTGTTGTGGGGGCTGTCCTGTGGATGGAGCGTGCTTAGCAGCATCCATGACCTCCACCCACTAGATGCCAATCTCCCCCGAGGTGACAACCAGAAATGTCCCCTGGGGTGAGGGCAGGGGCGCAATATCACCCTTGGGTGAGGACCTTCTGCAGGCCTTCAAAATGTTATTTAAATTTTCTCATAAGTGGTTATTTTTCATCCCAAATGGGAGTTTGTGGCAGGGTGGTGGAGTTGGGGTGAGTGCCAGTTCCGTGACATGGGCCTGAGGATTGGGGCAGAAGCTTCTTTTTGGACCTGAAGGTGAGCAGGAGAGAGAGAGGCAATGGCTGGGCCTGCAAGGTGTCAGCAATGGTGAGCCCGGCAGCTTGCCAAGCAGGCCGGGAGACTGAGTGGGCAGGCGGCCGGGATGGGGCAGGGGACTCTCCTAAGCATCCATTGTTACTGTTTCCTTCAACAGTAAAAAATAAAAAATAAGTTAAATGTCTAGCAATAGGAAGGGGTTAAGTCAACTATGCTGTGTCCCTATATAGGAATACTATGCAGCTGTTAAAAAGGAGGCGGCGGCTCTATTAATACTGGCGTGGAAAGGTGTCTGCTCTGGAGTAAACGGGCAGAAGGGAAGCCTCAATGTCATATGGTGGCTAGAAATGTGGATTCTGGGTCTGAATGGCAGCTCCCTCCCTTTCTTGATCTTCCTAAATCTTCCTAAACTCCAGTTTGTCTATTTCAAACATGAGATGAATACTGCCGTGTTCTTAGATGACTCGATCACACGGGAAACATTTACAGCCACTCCCGGCGTACAGTCCACTGCAGTAAGTGGCAGGACCATGCCGCTGCTAATGATGCGGATGCTGACGATTATAATAATGACTCCTGGTGATTCCTTTGGATAACTGTTTTACTAGAGGACACTTACTGATTTATTCAGTATTTTAAGTACAGGGTCCAGTGGGGATTAAAGGACAGGGCTGGTTAGCTCAGAGTGAAGGTAAGCTGGGAAGTGCGATCCATGACTTTGTGAACTGCCAGCACTCTGCCCCTCGGCCTCGGCTCTCAGGGTTTAGAGACTTAGCCTACGGCGTCTGACACGGCCACCGGAGAGGACCCGAGACATCGCAGACTAAGAGCTGAAAGTGCTCTTTACTCCACTTCCCCCCCATAAAACAGCAGCTCCTGCTCCTTTCCTATCCTCAAAGGATCGCCAACATGTGTACATATTTCACACGTTAGGAAGGTTTTTCTTTCCTTCGAATGGAGTGGCAGGCAGGAGTGAAATGAAATAGTGAGTGAAAAGTGCTGGAATGCTGGTTACTGGGACCTGGGAGGGGGTTGCCAGCAACTACATTGGGGAGGGGGGAACAGGCGCTCCGGGAGAGGGGGGAGCAAAGGAACCACAATGGACCACATACCCGCCAGCCTGACCTTGAACCATCTCTCCTGTGATGGCTGTTCCAACCACCCTTCCCTCCACCCAAACAAAACCACCTGCCTTTTCTACCACCCGGAGCTGGCACCGTCCCTTGGCACTGTCACTTCGTGCTTTCCTTGTTCACTGAGCCACCTCTCTTCTCGCTTATAAACCAGGCAGATACACCAAGGCGGGGACTGTGGCAGATTTTCCCTCACTAGTTACCTGCAGGCTGGGGATAATAACAGCACCTTTCCCTGCTAAGGGGACTGAACTGGTAACAGATGTAAAGGCCTGATCACAGTGTCTGGTACAAAGGAAGCTCTTTAGTATAAGGATTAGCTGGTATTATTATGGGTTATTATTTTTAAGCACTCAAGCAATAGCCCCATTTTCCCGACGAGGAACCTGAGATGATAAGTCACTTGTTCAAGTCACACAGCTGTAGGTGGTAGAGCAGGATTTGAACCCATGTCTGTCTGGTGCTAGAGCCCCGGGGACAGCCCTGGTCACCAACGCTGAGCTCAGACTTGTGCCACCCCTCCTGCCCATCAGGAGCTGTTTTCCACATGAGGAAGCTGAGGCCCAGGTGAGGGAGGTGACTGCCCGTGATCCTGAGCTGGCCAGCGGAAATGCTGGGAGCGGAGGTCTGGGCTCCTGCCTCTCAGCCCGTGCCGTGTTGTTCTGGTCCCGGTTCTGGCTCAGAAGGATGGCCAATAAGTACCCACTGAACTTTGGTGCCGGGTGCTTTACATTCACTGCGCTTATTTCATCCCCATGTCAACCCTGCAAGGAATCCCTGGCTCCATTATGCAGATGAGGCAACAGACCCTCACGTGGAACAGCCTCGATAAACTTGGCTCCTGCACAGGGCCTGGGATGCCCTTCTCAGCAGCCCCAGGTGGAGAGGGAAACCTCCCTCCTGTATGAAAACACAGGGATGAGATGCCTGGTGGTGTCAGCACCTGCTGTCAGGGCCTGGGCCCTCCCGGCTGCTGCCCAGACTGGTCTGGTGAGAATGAGGCGGAATCACTCATCGACTCACGGCTCATCAGTACCTCGCTGGACCTGGAGTGCCCCCGAAGGAAAACGTACACAGACATCTGGGCCAGGACTTGTAGCTCGACCAATGTAACATGGGTGTCAGGAGCCCAGAGACCATGTGCATGGTGGGAAGAACACTGGACTAAGAAGCTTTGGGTTCTAGATCAGGCCCCATTGACAACACACTAAATGATCTCAGCCAAGCCCCTTTCTCCATCCATCACATGGAATCTTTTCTTTAAATGAAACCTTGTAGGCAAGTTCAGTCCATAAACCTGGTAAAAGCAGAGCTTGCTGGGGAAGGTCAGCAGGGTAGGGTTTACTCTTCCCATTTGGTACATGACGTCCTGAAAGGCCAGGGCCTTATTCCAGGCAACTAAGGAAGGCCACGGGACCCACATGAAGTTGTAAAGAGAACGCCTGGGTTGTTCACACCCCTCTCTAGGCCTCTGATGAGGGCGGATGGCCACGCCCATCACAGCTCCCACACCCCTCCCACAGCTGGCGTGCAGGTGGAGATGCTGGGAGGGAGAAGTCCTGACCTTCATTCATACTGGGGGAGGTCCCCGTGGCTCTGGGAGCTGGAGGAACAAGAGAGCTCCAGGATCTACTTCTCAGCTTTGAACCTACAGAAATAACCATGTGCGAGAGCAAAGATTTTGTTCTGAGGATGCTTCTCAGTAGCAGGGGGATGAAATACATCGTGGATCATACAGATGCTGGCACGTCTTGCATCATGCAGGGGATGTACAAGAATAGGTAATGATGTAGAGAGATGGTCATGGTGCACTTTTTCTCTTTTTAAGCTCTTGTGTGTGCCCCGACTGGGGATTGAACCTGCAACCTTGGCATCATATCTAGACGAGGTTCCAACCAACTGAGTTTACCCGGCCAGGGCCACAATGCATTTTTAAGTACAAAAAAGATTATACAATTATTATGATGTCAGTTTTGTAAATATCCTTCTTTATGTGTAGAAAAATAGCTAGAAAGATGTTAATACTTTAGCCTTGGAAATTAAGAATTTTCCTCCTAGTTTTTGGTAGTTCCTCCTTCCCCCACTCTTTGTAAGTGATCAAATTACTGTGTCACCCATACCATGTAAAAAAAATGCAAACAACAGAGAAGTACTAGATACTTCCCACATGAATCTAATCCTCTCCTCAGGATAATTAAACTTTTTTCTTCTCGTACTTCCTATTTTCTAAGTTATTCATCATGAACATGTATAGCTTTTGCAAAATGTAAGAGAAACAAATGTACAAAGAAGAGCGAACAATGCTCTGAGGTATGGCGGGCCTGGCTGGGCCCTGGCGGGGGGCTGGGCCAGGACTTGTGCAGATTCTAGAAGGCAGAGCCCGAGGTGTCTCCACTCAGAGGGAGTTGGTCACGAGGTACCCGAGGCTCCTTCTGTCCCCGTGATGTCATCGGTGGTGCACAAAAGAGGCCAGGGTATGACATCAACTCCCTTTCCTCCTCTATGTCTGATGAAATGTTTACAGATACTACCTCAAGTTGTAGACAGAGGATCAAGGAACATGAAACCGAGCTCTGCCTCTGCCTGGCTGTGTGGCCTTGGGAAAGTGACTTAACCTCTCTGGGCCTCCAGTTCCTTCTCTGTTAACGGGGACACTACTATCTCCCTCACAGGGCTGGGCGATTGTGAGGGTTGAATGACTAGCACACAGAGGTGTTCAGTAAAGGGAGGCTCTTGTCTCTGCCGCATCTGATGCCACCCAGCACATGAGTCTCTGCTAGCAGCATTCTGAGGTCACTTCACCACAGCTCCCCTTTGGTGGTCTTGTGGTCCAGCCCTCAGATTCCTGTTAGGCCTGGTCACAAACCACCACCACGACGAACCCCACCCCCAGAGAGCAAGATGTCACGCGCCTTTGGGCGTCGTGTCCTGGCAGCATTCAGGCTCTTCCCAAATCCAGCCTCCTGCTGCAATGTGAGCGTCACTCTCCTGAACAAATCGCCCGGCTGCAACCACTTACATTTTGGCTTCGAAGTCCTTCCACGCCTTCTCCAGCTGTTTTTTGGAATCCTGTGGTTTAAAAAGAACAATTTGCTCAAAGGGGCACTTGGGGTGTGGAATCAACAGTACACTTTGCTACCTTTAGGGGAACCCTGCACCTGACTTCTTCCCACAGTTGCCAAGAATCCGTTGGCTTTGGTGGGCCCAGGCCCAGGATGTGGGGAGATTTGGGGGGTCTGCCCTGAATTTGCTTTCTTAGAAGATGGAGATTACCACAAGGAAGAGGATGGAGTGGGGGATGAAGTTCAGAGCCCCTTCCTCCAGCTCTATCCCTTCATTTCTCCTCCCCAGTTCTAGATCATCCTCTCAATAAGAAGGGTACAGGTAGAAGAACATAAGCACAGAGAGGCTAAGAAATCTACTCAAGGCCACACAGCGAGCCAGGGTGACCTGGCTGATCCCTGGCCTAGTTTGCCTGGACCTGGCTGCTCACACCCTCAGAACAGCCCTCACTTCCGGTGCCCCAGTCAGCCAGGTGAAAAAGCTGCCCGTCTGGTTTGGGTGGTTCCCAATCTGGTGTCTAGAAAAGGGTCAGGAGGGAAGCCTCTGGGGGGAGGATAGCTCCTCCCCTGGGTCTTCTGGGGCAGCCTTTCCGGGCAGATTATTGTCACCTTCTCCGAGCTCCTCTCTGCCTGAAGCCAGGAGCTGCCAGGCGCAGAGAGGGCAGCCAAGCACGGGAGTTGCGAGTCCGGATCCCACACTGGCTCCTCCTCGTACTGACTATGTAAGCCCCAAGCAGGTGGCCAAACTCCCTGGGCCTCCATTTCCTCAACTGGGGATCACAGTACCTACAGAACCCACTCCATAGGGTTGTAGGAATTCCATGAGCTACTTCGCATCGGGCCCTGGCAGTCAGTAGGTCAGCCATCCTAGGCTCACCCCAGAGCCAGGTCCTGCTGTCCCTCTGAGGGTCAGTAATATGGCGTCACTACTTCCACTGTGACAGCCTCCCCTGGCCTCCCCTAAGGTTTCCTGCCCACTCCTGGCTTGCTCCACCCCACACTCTCTGGGCATCTTCCACCCCACCCCCCATTCTCACATTGCAACTCACCTGTCGCCCGTCCCTCAGTTGCCCCTTCAACAGACTGTCCAGTGGAAAGGAGACAATGTTGTTCAAGTTCTGAACCTGGAATAAGCAGACACCCCCATGCTGCACCTTGGACGACTATCTGTCTAGCCCCAAGGGGCTCGAGTACAGGGAAACAGCACAGGGCAAAGGACATTGCCGGGGGTCAAGGAAGCTGGGGGTCAAGGAAGCTGGGGGTCAAGGAAGCCGGGGAGAGAAAGGTGAGAAGGTGCAGGGAGAAGGGGATGGCGGAGTTAGCCTCCCGTAAAAGGTGTTACACCTGCCCTGGCTGACCAGCCTCAGCAGCTCATGCCCCAGGAACATCCGAGGTCAGCCCCATCTCTGTTCTTCCGCCAGGAGCACCTCCTGCCCCCCTCTGACTCTCTGAAGTCCCCCTGTCGTGCCCATGTGTGGTTTTGTCTGCCTAGTTCCTTGACTCCTTTTGAATGTGGGGAGCCCTTTCCCTGTGCTCACGTGGGATGAGTACAGGAGTCAGAACTGACCAGAGAGTACCCCATCTTCGGCCGCAGTGGTTGGATCAAGAACAGGCATGTGACCCGAGCCAGCCAATCAGATCCTTTCTGGGACTTTTCTGCCCAAGTCTTGGGAGAAAGACTGTGCCTTTCTCCAGGTAAGATATGAACTGGGCCTGCTGGGCCATCCTGCCCACTGAGCAGAGACGGAGAAACTAAGAGAAAGAAGGAGCCTAAAGCCAGCTGCACTCCTGGACTTTCCGTCACAGAGGCCAACGAATATCCCTTTTAAAAATTAACCTAGTTCGGGCCGAGTTTCTCTCATTTGGCAACCTCAGACAGCCTGTCTAACATTTCAGCCCACCTTTCAGGGTACAGCCCAGGTCTCCCCTCCTCCAGGAAGCCTTCCTGACCACAACACTTGTGGCCTACGCTGACCTCCCCTTTTCTGAGTTTGTGCCAACCTGCTGGTGTTGCTGGGTGTCATCCTACACCTCACTTCCTGTCTCTCCTGCTGGACCACGGCTCTCTGAGGCAGAGGCTAACGCTTCTCTGTGTTGCCAGCCCTACAATGCCCAGCAAACACCAGCTTGAGTGACACAGGGATAGAGAGGTAGAGACAAAGGAGGTCACTAATTCAGCTGAAGTCAAACACCGTGAGGCCTGTATGTGCGGACTGGTGAGCGAGGCACTGCTACTCAGAGATGTAATGACAGACGGCAGTGTCAGCCAGCACTCACTGGCGCTTCCTCTGGAGTGGGCACTCAGCTTGTGTGGTCTTCATTACAACTCTGAGGGTGGGGCCCCTTACTATGCCAGTTTTACAGAGAGAGGTCTGGGGCTCAGGCAGATTGAATGGCTCACTCAGGGTCACACACCTAGTCAGCAGCAGAGTGGGGATTTGAGGCCCCCGTCTAAGTCCAAGGTCCAGATACTTAACCACAGAGCAAACCACTCCTTGGAGATGATGCAACTCTGCCAGCCCTGGAGGGCACTGGTGGGACTTGAGCCACCAGAGCTGAGAGCCAGTCCCAGGAAGCCTGGAAGGAGAGGGGCCTTCCCGGGAAGGGGCACCTCCAGGCTCGTGCTCGGATGCTGGAGCCGGACAACCTGGGTGCAGATCCAGCTGTGTGACCTCAGGTGAGTTGCTTAACCTCAAGCCCTGGGTTCCTGGCCTATGAAGTGGGGGCAATAGTAAAACCAACCCCACCCAGCTGTGCTCCAGGATTTAGTTAGCGAATGTGTAAGGTTCTGGGACCAGGCCTGCACCGGGAAGAGCTTCTATCTCAGGCAGCCTTGAGGCAGGGACTTATGGACAGGGGAGGAGGCCGTATCAGGAAAGGCCTGAGGCCACTGGGCACAGTGGGGAGCTGAGAGGCTTGTTGATACAAGGCAGGTTCTTTGAGGACGAAGCAGATTTGGTTGGGAACACAGAGGACAAAGAAGGTTGAAGGGAGGTGGTGGCATAAAAACGGGAACCCCGGGGTCTGCACTCTCTTCTCCCCAACCTCCCCCAGGGAGCCCTTCCTCGTGCGGGGTTCCTCCCCACTGCTGAGACCCCTCTGTTCCTGGACAGTCACCACAGAAGACGAAGAAGAAAGGACAGAGAAGACACCGGTGAGGAGTCACAGAGGAATAAGAATGCAAAGATAGGTCAGAACTAGAAAGGGACCTCAGGTCATGGGTCAGAGGTCAAGGGACACTAGAGGTCAATGACAACCTCGGAGAAGGGTGGAAACCAACTCTTTCCTATCCAGGTTCTTAAGCCCACTAGATTTGCCCTGAGCCCGGTCCTTTCCTAAGAAAGGACCAGGGTCCTCACCAGGTTCTTGAAGAGTGCAGCCACCTCACGGGTGAACACGGCCAAGTTCAGGAAGCCGGTAGACAGCTCATGACTGTTTTGGGACAGGTGGCTATTGCCTAAGGATTCCACGGCCTCTCGGTACTGCTCCTCGTTCTCCACGTGGCCTGTGGAGATAGGGAAGGGAGCTCAGAGTTAGCTTCAGTCTAGGGCTGGGGAAGGGGCTGCCTGGCCAGGCTGGGCATCAGGCAGACTGCAACTCACCCAGGCCAGAGCTGTGGATCGCCCGCACGGCCTTCTTTATCCTCTGCAGGATGGCCTGGTCTCCTTCCAGGATCTGGAAGCAAACATGGACAGAAGTTCAGGGGTGCCCAGCCGGGAGGGGTGCCTGACTCCACGATCCCACCCTCCAAACACAAAAAATAGACCCCCTCCATAGGGTCCCCTTGCACCCTCCACCAAACATAAACAGACCCAAAGAAACCCACATACCAGTCACACCACTCCGGAAGGACCACAGACTTGTCCCCGGGTCCAATGCAGGCAGAGTAAACACAGTGATTCTGAGGTATGGGCGTCATGGGATATGCCAGACCTGCCTTTGGTCTCGGCTCTGGCACTACACGGTGTGTCAACCTAGACAAACCTGTTAACTTCTCTGAGTCTTGGATGCCCTGTCTGCAAAACTATAGACTCAAGGAGCTGCTGAGGGAATGAATGACTTCATGAATACATACAAACTGCTTAGCAAAGACCAGGGAGAGAACATGGACATCACCACATTCTCAAAAGACAGAAATGGGGGCAATCTTGTTCTCCAAATCCCAGGCTCAATAAGCAGCCGTGTGAGGACGATGGGGCAGAGGCAGGGTACCACGGCAGGCAGTGAGATCAGAGGGGGCAGAGGGCACACACTCAGCACCCCACTGGGAAGCACTGGTGGGACGACATCGGGCAGCCGCAAAGTGCAGGGGTGGCAGAACAAACAGCAGACCAGAGAAGACCAGTTGTGATGGCAGGAGGCGGGCCCCACAGGCCCCCGGTGGGTTCACCCCATATGGAAACCACCCATCTTCCTTGGGGTGTGGAAGCTGCCAATCTCATGAAACCCTTATGAAGTACACAGTGGAGTTGGAATGCTAGGGCTGCGAAGGGCCCACAGACCCACAGATGAGGAATGTGAGGCCAAGAGCAGGGAGGGCCGTGCCGGGTCACACGGTGGGCAGGCTGCATAGCTGGGCTTCCAGGGGTGGCCCAGGACAGTGCTCCATCCACGGCCCCGCCCTGACCCCAGCCCCACCTGTTTTGTCCAGTGACTAAAATGGGATCAGAGTTTCCGCTCTAAAGAGTTACTACACCGTGACAAGAGTTAGCAAACACATTGGAATGGTATCTCCAAAGATACTAAACAGTGCTCACAGCCCTGGCTGGCGTAGCTCAGTGGATTGAGCGCGGGCCTGTGAACCAGAGTATCGCAGTTCGATTCCCAGTCAGGGCACATTCCTGGGTTGCAGGCCAGTTCCCAGCAGGGGACACATGAGAGGCAACCACACATTGATGTTTCTCTCCCACTCTTTCTCCTTTCCTTCCCCTCTCTCGAAAAATAAATAAAGAAAATATTTTAATTAAAAAAAAAAAAAAACAGTGCTCACAGAGGACGTGCACAGGGCAGAACACGGGCTATGGAGAGAATTCTCAGAGCCTCGGGCTTGTGGGAAGCCTCTGGGGGCGGGGTCTGGTTTGGAAGCCCAGCTCCACTGCCCAGATGATGTGTGACCTTGGGCAAGTTGCCGATTCTCTCAGCGCTTCCTGCTCAGCTATCTGGAAAGGAGGGAAAATAGTGCCTCCCTCTCAGGCTCGTTATGAAGATGAGTTTGTACAAGACCATGCGGAGAAAGAGTTTACGTGGTGCTAAGCGGAGTGTGTCCTCCTTGAATAGTACCTGTGATCTTTATCAGCAGCTGCTGCCGATGATAAAAAGGTCCATCAAATTCTGGATACTTTTCCTATATAGATGAGAAACCCAATATTTTCCACCTTGAGCATGAACTTGAGATACTTTCACATTTGGAACCCGGGGAAGCCCATTGGTTCCGAACAGGGCTGAAGGAAGAATGTCAAGGACTTAGGGAGATCGGGGACAGGGGCCGTAATTGAATGAGCTAAAGAACTAAGACACTTCTTCCTGGAGAGACAAAGACAGGGGGACAGAACACGGACATCTCTAAAACTCCCAGAGACATGGCCGCCAAAGCCCTTGATCCCCACCTTGAAACTTGAAAAGGAAAAGCTAGGAGGCGATTAACTTAAGGAGCTGTGACTTCACTCCAAAAGTCAATATGAACAAAAAAGATACGAACAGATTCCAAAGAGATTTAGAAAACTCCCTAGAAGGTCAATCTGTGTGCCTAGCATACAGAAAGTGCTCAAAATTGTTTACCCAAATGAATGATAGTCGGCAGAGTCCCAGGTCTACTAAGTCCATACTCTAGATGCCTTTTGGGGATTTTCCTAGCCCATGAGGCCCCTTCTCTGGAAACTGCCTTCCTCCCCTCTGGAGGTGAACCCTTGCTGCCTTGTTTGTTCTAGTCAGAGTTCACTGGACCTGGGTGGACACCTGCCCCACGGTGGGCCAATCAGATTCTGTCTCCAAAGGATTTGGAACTGGGCTCTGGGAAGCGAGCTAACTGATTGAAAGTGCTCAGGCTGGGACGTCTTGCCCACCATGCGCACGAAAAAAGAGTAAAGCAGGTGTGTAGAAAGAAGCATGCGACACACGCTGCCGCAGAAAGGCAGAAGGGAAGAGCTGCCCTGGTTTCTGGTAACTTGCCAGCTCCCGTTATATTGCGTATTCTGTCACTTGGAGCTGAACCTGGCTGTAAGTGGTATAGACAGGTAAGTCACCCTAATCGCCCACAAAGTGTCCCCTGATGGCCTTGTCAGACATATAGAGGAAACAGCCTCCCAGAAAGATACTGTTCCTGCCCCTATTGCTCTTAACAATCAAGGTTCACACAGCTATTCATTCATTCATTCATTCATTCATTCATTCAACTAGTTACTGAGCGCCTGCTGTGCATCCAAACCCTGTGTAAAAGACACAATCTCAGCTCTCAGCACCTCTCCATCTAAGGTGAGAAGGAGCCAAGTAAACAGAGCCTTGTAAAGTAATGTGACTAGGGCACGATGTCAGGTGGACAGAGTACCTGGGAGCCCAGGGGAAGCAGAGCCACGCCTGCTTGGGAAGAGCAGGGAAGGCTTCCCTGCCGCCAGGACGCAACCCCAGGGCGGGGCAGGAAGAAAAGAAACTAAGAGACTGACTGCACTGTGAGGCCGGCAGCACGGGCAGCAGTGGGTGCAATGGTGGGATTGCTAGAGGGAGGCGGGCTCTGGGAAGAATGGGCAAGGAGATGAACGTAGTTCACTTGTTCATTTGTTCGTTCGTTCGTTCATTCATTCATTCATTCATTCATTCATTCCAACAGGCATCTACGGCTGCCTCTTTCAGGCTTGCAGACATATAAACACACAAGTCCTGAAGGGGGCGCAAGATGGGAGAATTCTAATCATCCCGTCTCGAAAATACCTGAAAATCATTCACAGCAGGGTATAAATGATAATACCTACCCTCTATGATACAATGGGTAAAGATTTAAGCTAAAGAACTATAGTTTTCCTTAGGCTTCTATTTTTCTTTTTTTTTTTAATTTATTTCATTTTTTAAAAAGATTGTATTTATTCATGTTTAAAGAGGGGAAGAGAGAAAGAAAGAGAAGGAGAGAAATCAATGTGTGGTGGCCTCCCAAGCCCCCGCTCCCCCAGCTGGGGACCCAACCTTCCACCCAGGCATTTGCCCTGACTGGGGATCGAACCTACGACCCTTTGATTCACAGACCGGCACTCAGTCCACTGAACTAACCAGCCAGGGCAGAACTATAGTTTTAAGGAGGAAATTCTGATCAGAGCCTGGGGATGGGAAGGTATCTGGGGAAAGGCGCAGGGGCGTCCAGCAGTGATGAGTCACAAGCTGAAATGCTGGCCTTGGACTCCCCCAAACGCTCTCCCTGGGAGACACTAGCCATGTCTCCAAACCCCCTCCTCTTTCGAATGAGAGAAAAATAATGTAACTTGGGGAAAAAAGTCCATTTTCCACTTAACTCACAGAGTTACTGTGAGACTTACATGAGATCACAGACAGGCACCAAGGCTTGAGGCTTTCGGGAAAAATGCGTCCGGTTCTTACTGTGGTTTGTGTTCTGCCCTGTGTAAGATCGACCCTTGTTTCCCGAGCCTGGGCCTGGACAGGCCAGGGGAAAAGTCAGGTCTGGAGGTGGGTGGCTCCGTTTAATCCCCAAGAGTCAGTCATTCTCCAAGTGGGGTCCCTGGACCAGCAGCATTTCCGTCACCTGGGGACATGTCGGAAATGCAAAATCTCTGGCTGAATCAGAAAATCTGGAGTGGGGCTCACGGATTTGTAGGTTTTAAAAAAGAGTTTTAAATATGGCCCCAGCTGGTGTGGCTTTGTTGGCTGGGCATCGTCCCACAAACCTGGGTTGTGGGCTGGGTGCCTGGTTGGGGACGTGCGAGAGTCAATCAACTGGCGCATCTCTCTCGCATTGCTGTTTTTCTCCCTGTCTTTCTCCCTCCCTTCCCCCTCTCTAAAAAATAAGTAAATAAAATCTTATTTTTTTACACGTGTTTATTGATTTGAGAGAGAGAAAAAAACACCATCTCTTGGTTGCTTCCCATAGCCACCCTGACTGGGCATTGAAGCTGCAAACTAGATATGTCCCCTGAGCGGGAATTGGACCCCCAACTTTTTGGTGTATGGGACAACACTCCAACCGAGTCACACTAGCCCGGCTCAATTTGTGTTTAAACAAGCCTTCTGGGTGATTCCGATGCACACTACAGTTTGGGAGTCACGGACCTAATTCTACCCTCTGAGGTGCAGTAATTCATCATCGCTGAAAGCACGGTGCTGGCCCAAACTACCTGGCTTTAAATATCCGCTCTGTCAGGGTACTTGCTCTGACTGCTCTGTGCCTCAGTTTCCCCATTCATAAAGTGAGGATGATAACAGTTCCTACTACATAGGGTTGTTGGGGAGATTAAGTGAATCCACATAGGTAAAGCCCGTATAACAGTACTATTGGAAAGCTAAAAATGTTATGTATTTCCAAATTAAGTTCAGTTTGGCTTAGGAATTTTGCAACTTTCCCTGAGCTAATGAAAGACGCCCTGCCCCCAGAGGATCCTGCTCACAAGCTGTGGGAACCACAGGTGCCGCGGGGCCAAGTGAAACCTCTACCGCCGGGCAGAGAAAGACGTCACAAG